TAATGCCAACACACATTTAAATAAATACTGGTCAGAATTTCTCATTCAATCTCCATGACTATTATTACTCCAAGTTTCAGAAGAGAAAAATTATTCTCAGAGAAATTAAGTAATATGCCCAAGGACCTGAACCTGTATAGTCTGGCTACAAAGTCACTTATTCTTTAACTCTACTGCAGCCCAAATTCTAAAACTGAATTGGTCATTTCTGTGTGTGTGTGTGTGGTATGCTACACTCTTGCACTTACCAAGAATTAGGAAACAACGCTACCCCAAATAATTTCACAAGTCTGCAATTTTAGTTATGTAAAATAGGTTTTCACTATTTAATGCACTAGGCAATATTCCCTTGTGCCCACATTCTATCATTACTACAAAACAATCTTTCTTCAGTATGGTCATAGCCACTGGAAGTGTTTAAGCAGAGAAAGAAGTATCTGATGGAGACTCTTCAGCAGTTTCCTAGCACTGAAAACCAAGAAAAGCACGAGAGGACTAAGAAGACCATTTCTGATACAAATAAGAAGTTAAACATGATTGGTTTAAACTCAACTGAAATACAAAAACTAAGCTAATAAATACTATAACTCAAACTAAACAAAAATACTGCTAAACTTTACATTTGGAGAGCAGCGCTTCATACTTTTACAGAGCATCTTTGTATAGGCTATATGATTTCATCTTCACAAAACACTGTGAGGGTAAGCCCTATGATTTGAATGTCCTCCAAAAGTCACCTTCATACTTAATCTTCAATGTGGCTACATTGAGAAGTGGAACCTTTAAGAGGTGACTGGATCATGAGGGCTCTGTCCTCATGAATGGATTAGTTCCTTCATGGAATAATGGGTTGCAAGAAGAAGAAGACAGACTTGAACTAGCCCCTTAGCATGTTCAGTCCCCTCACAAGGTGGCACCCTGGGCCACTTCAGGACTCTGTAGAGTCCCTACCAGCAAGAAAGCTCTCCCCAGATGCAGCCCCTCCACTTTGGACCTCTCAGCCTCCAGAACTGTAAGAAATAAATTCCTTTTCTTTATACATCACCCAATTTCAGGTGTTCTGTTATAGGCAACAGAAAACAGACTAATACGGGAGGCAAGGCTAATACACCCTCTTTACACATAAGAAACGAAGGCCTTGATAAATCTGTTTTTATGTTGGGGGGGGGGGTCCAGGCTTTTAATTGTTTTGTTTTTCTTTAATTCTAAGGTTTTTACTCTATGACTCTATAATATTTCTGACTTTAGTCCTCAGTATAGTTAAAAATATGAAGAATACACAGTTCCTAGCTCTTGGCCTACAAGTGGGTACTAAAAAACAATTTATATAAAACCATAACCCTTTTCCATGATATAACTATTCTCAAAGAAAACCAAGCAGAGAAAATTACACCAAACACTACCTTTTATCCCTCAACAACATTTATCCAGCCTTCCTCATCATTAACAGTCCAAAGCAGAGATAGCTGTGTAGAGTCCAGCTGCCAAGGACATTAAGTTGTTCTTCAAAAAAGGCAAAACCCATTTACGAGTTATGTAAATATTTCTATTTACCAAAATAATGACCAGTCTTCTCTTAAAAATGTCCAAGTGAACAAGAACTTGAGTTCACAGGTGCATATATAGGGGATAATCAGAACTTCTGACAACATGGTATATATGCTTATACTACATATTTAACACTTCTTGCAGCCAAGTCTTACCTTTGATTCTGAACTATCAAGAGAAAATAGTTACAGAGTAAGACTGAAAAACCAAAATCTACATAGATCTTAAGGAGAACATGTTTTATCAGATGACATCCTCTTCCTCCAGCAAGGTAAAAGAGATTGTTCAACACTATTAACACTACTTAATGATTGTGAAATATTCAAAGGAAAATTTGACTGCCATTGCACAATAACAGTCCTAGTCCTTTAGCCTCCACCTTATTAGCAAAACAAAAAACCCAGAGCAGTCATCTTCTATTGTGCAAGAACAGTAGAGACCCACACCCTGGCCAGTAAGCAACCGAGGAAGAGGTTCTAGAAAAAAAAGGAAGAAGTCAAAGTGTATTTGACTTTTTGCTGGGGCTAACTCTGCTTTATGAGGTAAGAAACTTAATGTTAGTTCATCTAGGGTCTCAGGAAAAAAATGGAGATCAATGAATTCAATATATTTAGCATCCAGAAGCTCTATGTATGCTGTTGAACTTTTTCTTTTAAAAGAAAATCAAGTTTTCATTCCTCGTGACCTTAGAAATTCAGCTGAAGTGCTCAAGATAACTTTCCAGTTTCAAGCCTCAATATCTTGTTTTCCATTTCTTATTAACAGCCCTATAATCCTGAAGCTGTTTTTATACAGGATCTAATTTGTAAAGTGGAACTGTTAATATTACTCTATTCCTTCACTCAAAAAGCATACATCAAATAACCATAATTACACATCACCTTAGATGGCATCATCAATCTTTAATTACAAGAATTAAGAGGTTGATCAATATTTATTCAGAAGCAATTAAAACTGTTGACTAGAATAAAAAATGTGGCAAAACAGGAAAAAGATGATATTCGAATGCAGTTAGCTGTTAACCTAAGAATGGTATCATTTATGTTTTTTTTTAATTTTTAATTTTTTTAATTTTTATGCTCAATATTCTCCCTAATACCATTTATGCCTTTTAGAATAACCCAAATACCTAAAGGAAACTCAGCTCCACCAGCTCCCTACTGATTCCATCCATGTTAAGAATCTATCCACTAAACCATTGGATCAAGGAATTTAAATGCAAGTCATACAACAATTACAAGACACCTTCTTTGTGTCAGGCACTGTGCTAGGCACTGGGTCTGCAAAAAGGAACCCTGATCTCTAAAGGTTCAGTTTTAAGCATTATGCTGCAGTTTTACCAGGAATAATTTCATCGAGAGAAATTCTTCAGCCACTGACTAGGCACACACAGAACATCGAGAAATCACTCATCTCTCTTAATGACTTACAACCTTAATCATAGAGTACTCTTTAAACATTATTTCAGTCAAAATTCTCTGAATTGGCATTGAATAATTAATTAAATGGCAACAGACTATTGCGCCCTTATGACCTTTTTCTAGAGGCACCACTAATGTCCATCTCCTCTGCCCAAACAAAAGCAAAGCATACAAATGCAATTCATAGAAGAGAATGTCATTCTTATGTATGAATTTACCGCCAAGGTTTATATAAGAATGCAACATCTGTCAATTTCCTAAAACACTTACTTCAGCTCATATAAACCCCTAACAGGCATTCTCTAATTCAAACAATTCACAGTGTAAAAGGCACATCTCAGCAATTCACAGAATCAAATGTGTTTTCCTTCTTTCTCACACTGCAGTGCTGTCACATGACCCAGTGACAGACCAGGATGGGATTAGTCAGGCTTCAGATGGCCCAGACTAAACCCTTCATCTGAAATTCTTTTTCACCAATAAGCCACCCACAAACAGGCACTCTGGCAACTAACGAGCCGTCTTGCCACCTGGGGAAACATCAGGTGCTTTCTCAAGGTTTTTTTTATAGTCTATTTCCAGGGCTCATCTCCAGTTTCTAAGGAAGTTGTGAAGATGTTTGATGCTACACAACTGTATTCTTTAGTAATCAAGAACCACTTCTTTTAGAACTGCTGAGCTGTCCATTTAAACCTGGCTTATTAAGGCCTTTTTATAATCACAGCAACGCTTAAGCCTATGCCTATATGCTATACATGGGCAAAGTTGCTTGGCTTCCCTAAAGAACCTTGCACTCAACCAAGTTTGCTTAATTGGTCAGTAATGGAAGAGGCAACGGTAGAAAAAGGCCCAGAGGGAATTTAAAAACCTGGATTTTTAGTTTAGTTCCTGCTCTGCCAATACTTAAGAGTCTGAAGCCTGGCGAGTCCTACCCCTCCCAGAACCTTAGGCTTCTCACCTGTAAAACGAGAGGGCTGGACTAGATGACCTGCAGGGTACTTTTCAGCTCTAGCGTTCTCTGATATCTAGGTGTCCTCCTGTGGAGCAGCCCCTCCACGGAACAACAAGCCACATCTCCCTCTGGCTGCCGGCCTGACCTCCATCCACGAAAGGCCTGACCACGTCAGCGATGGCACTACACCGTCCGCCCTCCGCAGGAGCTTAAGACCTGCCCTGAGGTCCTCACCAGCGGGATGGAATGGATGGGAAGGGGCGTTGCCTCGACCCCTAGTCATCCAAAAGAAGTCAGGGGAAGATTAAGATCGGAGTGACAAGAAGTGGCCCTCAGAGACAGGAAGCAAGTGCCTGACAACGCTCCAGCCTAGGGAAGTTGGAGAGGGTAGGGAATAGCCGGGAGCCCACCAAGCCTAGGAAAAAGTTCCCGCTGGTGCTCCTGCCCTCGGCCCACCTCACGGAAACGTAAGGTGCACGCAGACCTCCTTCTAGAGAAAGACATGTGGGTCAGGGTCGGAGGGGGACGCGGGAAGGAAAAATAAATCCCACCCCCCACCCGCTGGCTAAGCAGGTGAGTGGGAGCAAAGGGCTAGGCTAAGGAGCAAAGACCGAATGCGTCTTGCTCTCTGATACTCACTGAGGCGAGGCTGGGAGAGGTAGTTCCGACTAACCGCCAGCGCCTGCTCCCGAGATCCCACCACCGGCCCGCTGGTGGACACGGGTAGCTGGGGCGCGGCCCCGTTCACAATCCCCCGCATCGCCCGCAGCGCCATCTTGTCTCCTCCGTCCCGACTGGCCCAGCAGCAGCGCCGCGCAGGCGCAGATATACCAGGGCGGCCCGCGCACCCGGCTCCGCCCATGCGCGCTGCGGAGCCCCGGCCTCGCTCCGCCCCCTTCGCGGCTCACCGCCCCCAGCCTCGTGACTCGGCGCGCGTGGGCGCGGCGGGCGCGCGCCGGCTGGAGGAGCTGACCAGCGTGCTGGGAGGGCGGGCGCGCGGCCGGGACAGCAGTGAGGGAAGCGTGGCGGGGAGAAGGGCAGGAGTGAAGGGGGAAGGGGAAAAGGGGGGAAAAGAGACACAGAGAAAAAGGGAGGGGGAAGGAACGCAAACTCGTGCAAGAAGAGGTCAACGGACGTCCGTTTTCCAATAGCCTCTCATGACATCGAATGAGGAAAACTCAAGCTATGAAAACCACTTTGAGAAACGAAATATAAAACCTATTGCCGTGATTATGAACATAAGGGACGATGCGCCATCATTTATTTCACCTCACTACCTTTCTACCCAATTCATTGACTCAGGTAGCCATTCAACAAACACATACTGGCTTGTTTTAGGGTGCGGGTAGCGGTGTGAAAGACGAATGGGAACAGATTTGAGAACTGCTTAAAGCGTGCAACTAATGTGGGATGACAAGCTGTGCAAGGGACAGCCCAGGCTCCAGGCCTGAGCGACTGAATGGATGTGATGCTGTCGACAGGGTAGAAGAACTTTGCTGGTGTTGGGGGAAGACACGAAAGACTGTTCTGTTCTGGGATCTGATAAATTCCTTGTGGGATATCCAGAGGTGGTTTCCATTGGACTACGTGTACTTGTGCAAGGAGAAGATACCTGGGCTGCACTGAGGTGAAATTTGTGACTTATTTCATATGATGGTAATATGGAGATAAAAGAGACAGACCAGAGAGCGTGCTAAAGGCTAACTTTTGAGGGATTAGGAGAAGAGCAAAGGACAAGAATCATATCTGGAATCACATTAGAGTTGAAGAGAACCTAGAGCACGTGTCCCAGAGGCAAAAAGAAGAGAAAATTTTAAGGAAAGGCTATTGTGTAATGCAAAAACCAAAAAGAAGGTGAGCTTAGGAGCATTACAAATATCCATTATAGTTGGCCATCAGAAGGCCATTGTGATATGATGGGGGAGCTAGATGCTTGATGGAGAAAATTAAACTTTTTTACATGGGGGAAATTTTAGGGTTCAAACTGTTTATAATGTTGGTATATTACAAATGGAGAGAACACTACTCATCTATTTAAAGTCTATTTTGTGTGCATCTCATTTCCATGCACTTTGGGATAAATGCCCACAGTCCTTTTGAACCACACCATTGAAGCAAGTGTTCTTTAATTATAAGTGAAATTGAGCATAACTTAGTATGTTTTATAATTAAAGAAAAAAATGCAAAATAATAGGAGACATCATTTTAATTCATGAGACTTATAATTCTTAAGTTTAATGTCTAAAGTTGGCAAGTATGAAAGAAAACAGGAATTTTAACATTTTATTGATAAAAGCATCATTGGTATGAAATTTGGAAGAGTAATTTGGTGGTATCTCATTCAAATATTTCTGTGCTTGGAAACTATCTTTAAAGAAAAAATATTTATATACACACTCAGTGTTTGTGACATATTTTCGATTATATATGATACATTATATATTATATAGTATATTATATATTCATGAGTATATTCACACAGATATTCAATGAACATTTTTGTGATAGTAAAATCCTAAAAATAATCTAAATGCCTATTTATAAATTATAGCCTATCCAGTCAAAGCTATTCCTCAGCTTTTCAAAATGAATTCAGTGGAGGCTTAAATGTTGAGATTAAAAAACAAACAAACAAAAAAACCCTCTGAGACACATTATTAAATTTAAAATAAAAAAGCAATTGCAAAATGCTATGTAGAGTAAATTAATTTATGAACATTTACATATATATAAAATATGAGAGGGAAAATTTTACTTTTAGTTTAATAACCTTTCTATGTAGTTCAGTCTTGTAACATGTGTTTGTACTTATTTTTTTCTAATATAATACATGACAACTTCCTTTGTAACAAAATTACATACCAAGTCTTCTCATGCCCATTTTCACAATAGTAGGTAAGTTTCGGGTATGAGTAGCAGACTGTTAGGCATCTTTATAATTTTTATCCTATTATTTTAGGAGTAGTTCAAGTACTTTTTTAAAAGTTTTCTATAACTTTCTCCTCTGGAAACAGGAGTCAGTTATGGTCTGTAGCGCATAAGCAGAATAGTAACCCTAACTTTTATTTAACAAACATTTGTTGAGCAACTTCTTATGTGTACTGGCTACTGTTCTAAGTCCTGGAGATATACCAGTAAATAAACAAAGTCCCTGTCCTCATAGCATATATACGAGGTAAAAAGTCATAAAGTGCCCACTGGTGACAAGGGTGAAAAGAAAATAATAAAACAGGGTCAGGATTAAAAGAGCAATCAAGATCAAGCAAAGATTTTAATAGATGATGTGATCAGATAATGCCCCTCTGGGTCACCTTAGACCTAAATGAAAAGAGAAAGCAAGTTATGGAAGCTTCAGGAGACACCTGATACAGACAGAGGGAAAAACAGGTACAAAGGTCCTGAGGCAGAAAGAGGAAAATGGAGCTGGAATGGACCAGGCTAAGCAGAAGGCGTAGGAAAGAGGGTAGGACTGGGTCATAGAGAGACTTGGATGGAGCTTTATGGACAGAGGTTTGAATTTTGCACTTAGTGTAAAAGTATAATTTTAAGAAGGGGTAATGTGATCTGATTAGGCTTTAGACATCTTGTTCTACTGAACAAAAAAGAAACTGGTGCAGAAGGCAAGAGAAAACTTGAGAGACCAGTTGGGAAGCTATTGTAGTTGTCAGGGTGAGGAACTCTGACTCAAACTGGAGTGATGGCTCCCCTCTGGCACATTCCTGTAGCACTCTGGCCTTCCCTCCATCACAGAGTTCATCCCTATGATGCTGTCATTGAAAAGTGTCCCTTTATATTTTTCTCCTCTGCTGTTCCTCTCTGTAACCTCAGATACAGAACAAGTGGATTGGCAATGGGAGGGTAGGGTATAGTGCAGTGGAGAGAAAGAGTTTGAAGGAAAAAAATGGTAGAAATAAGCCCAAGATTGCTGTAAAACAGGGGTCACTAATTTAGGATCCATGAAACCTTTTAGTCTGTGAAACCTTTTGAAAAATGAATGTCTGTAGGCATTTGCCATGGAGATGGCCCATAGAATTTTATCGGAGTCTTAAAGGAGCCAATAACCCTTAAAGAAAACAACCAGGTAAGCTCACTGAGTAAAATTGGGAAAGTGGTATTGCTACTTACGGAATCACAGGTGTTTAATCAAATTTTTACATGATAGAATTATCTCCAACTTCTAAGACAACTACACTTTTTTAAAAAAACTTACAATTTCTTAGGATCTTATGACAGATCTATGTAGAGGAGCAGTCCCCAACCTTTTTGGCACCAGCGACCAGTTTCATGGAAGATAATTTTTCCATGGACTGGTGGGGTGGGATGGGCATCAGATCATCAAGCACTAGATTCTCATAAGAGGCGCACAGCCTAGATCCCTCCCACGTGCGCTTTACCATAGGGTTCATGCTCCTATGAGAACCTAAAGCCCTCCCTGATCTGACAGGAGGTGGAGCTGAGGCGTGATGTGAGCAATGAGGAGTGGCTATAAATACAAAAGAAGCTTTCCTTGCTCTCTGCCAGCTACTCACCTCCTACTGTGCAGCCTGGTTCCCAACAGGCCATGGGCAAGTACCCATCCAAGGCCCAGGGGTTGGGGACAAGTAACCCAAAAATGTCAGTCAACTGAAATTGAACAAGTGTTTCTCAGAATTATTTAGAGCATCATTATTTGAGTACTTTTTTGAGTTTTTTTTTTAAAATTATGTTCTTAATACATAAGAAAGGCAAAGGATAAAAACATATTGTACACAGAAAAATACAGGTAGGAAAATATGGAAAATTTTGAGTTTCCCTGATAATGAAGAAATTTAAACTAAAACAGGTGTGTGATTCTATACTATCTGTTAAATTAGGAAATTAGGAAAACTAACCACGTAATTCTTTTTTAAGCGTTGGCAGAATGAAGGGCTAAGAGCTGCATCAACACGTTTCTGGTGGCTTTGTAAATTGGCTAGTCCTTCTGGAAATCAACCTGGTATGGTTTAGGTATCATAAACTTGTTCACACAGTTTGATCTAATAATTTGATGCAATAATCTCAGTGATGTGATTATTAACCAGAGGAATATGTTTATAGCTTGGCAATACTGTTTATCATAGTGAAAATGAAGTAGTAACCTAAATACCAAAAAATAGTGAACTAGACAAGAATTCTATATTTAATGGATATTGGCATAAAGTAAGATCTATAGCTAGTGGAATTTAACGGTATGGAACTATTTATACAAAATAATACTGAGTGAAAAGATCTGAACGCAGATATAGACCAATTGCAATAGTGTAAAACACGTTTGTACATTGATAAAAATAAGAAGAGATTGTGCAGTGATGTAAATAATAGAAGCTGCGATTTGGGGAGATCTTTTTCCCCTCTAAAGTGTACATTAAATATCCAATAGTCACATACACTCACACAGAGAGTATCCCCTGGGGCCAGGGGAGTGCACAGTATTATGGGTAAGAGGTGTGGATTCTGGAGCCAGCCAGACCATAGTTTAAGCCCTGAGTTCATTAATTCCATGTCCTTGAACAAAACTTATTCTCTCTAGTTCTCATTTTTCTCATTTATAAAATGAGAGTAATACAGTCTCCATAAAGTTGTTATAAGTATTAAAAAAGATAAGAATGCAAAGCGAGGCCGGGCCTGTAATCCTAGCTCTCTAGGAGGCCGAGGTGGGCAGATTGCTTGAGGTCAGGAGTTCGAAACCAGCCTGAGCAAGAGTGAGACCCCCGTCTCTACTATAAATAGAAAGAAATTAATTGGCCAACTAATATATATAGAAAAAATTAGCCGGGCATGGTGGCACATTCCTGTAGTCCCAGCTACTTGGGAGGCTGAGGCAGAAGGATTGCTTGAGCCAGGAGTTTGAGGTTGCTGTGAGCTAGGCTGATGCCATGGCACTCACTCTAGCCTAGGCAACAAAGTGAGACTCTGTCTCAAAAAAAAAAAAAAAAAAAAAGAATGCAAAGCGTTTAGCAAATAGCAAGGGCTAGCAATGTCTGTACTAACATTATTATTATATACTTTGATTTATTGATTGATAAAAAATTTACATATTAATTACTATGTGTCAAGCTCTTTTCTATCTCCCTGACTAGCTGATGAGTTTTGTCTTGAGCAGGGACTATATCTTAAAATTTTCTTGTGTCTTTTATCTAAAGTACCTAGAAAGGTAATTTGCACATAGTACTTCACACATGTGTATTAGAGAAATGAAGATGTGTCGCTTTTTCCTAAGAGTGAACAGTTGTCCACCAGTCTTATTCTTCCATATGGTGGGTTTTTTTGCACCTAAGGAGCAGTCACCTTATTCAGATTGCTTGCTGTTTTTGTCCCCCTCTTATTTGTTGAAATCCTACCCTTACTTTACTCCTAAGGAATGCAAGAATCCAAGGAATTCCCCAGCAGCAGAGAATGTGGTCAGAACTTGCGACTCAGAGTCACTATCCCGGTTTTAGATTTGACTATCTTTGTAAGCACAGCGTGACTTTGGGCCATTCCTCAATTCCTTGTCTCCCAGCCTCCATGAGTGGGGAGAATTTCATGTCACTCCTGGTTCTCAGGGATTTGAAAGAGGTTTCCAGAAATCGACATCTTAAATAGAAATGCAAACCCTTATTGTTTTATTACAAACGATTGTTGGGGAAGAAAAAAGGGAAGGGAAGTGTAAGAAAACCTCATGCCAGTGACCTAATTTCCCCCGTATAATGTGTGTCTCTCTTCGTTTGCTGGAAAATCCTGACCCAGGAAAATATTATGAAGACAAACCATAGCAGATTAAACAGTCCTATACGTTCGTACGTTTCCATGTAATAAGGCATAAACCAATATAAAATCATCAGTACATTTTCAGCATAAATTAGCTTTATATTAAATATAGGCAATTTATATGTAAATTATGTATTTAATACATGTTTATTATTGTTATTGTGTTGCATGCTTTTAAATTCGGACCATCAGGTGCAGAGGGAGCTTTACTGTACTTTGACCTTCTGAAACTGAGATCTGTGGTTCTCTTCTGTATTCCTTGATTCTTTCCATTGTCACTAGGATCATGGATGTGTTGTGGAAAGGAGAGGAAACAGCAGAGGGCCTCCTATGATCAGAACAATGGCTACTCAGAGTGCTACAAATGTTTAAACATATAACAATGAAGAAAAGGCTAATGACTGAAAGGTCCCTTACCAGGTACTGCTGTCCTGTTGCCTGTGGTCTGAAGTGGGAAAACACGTCGTCGTTGAAACTCCAGGTGCCTTTTGTTAAAGACTTTCTTTTGTTGCCAGCTTGAGACAGCCCTTTCACAACCCAAATGTTCCAACAATGCTAATGTCTTTATTTGATGGGAAATTATTCTAACACTAGTTAGATAATAGAATAGTTAGAATAATAATAGAATAGTTAGAATAGAAAAATAATAGCATAATAATAAAAATAATTATAAAATAAATAAAAATAATTAAAATAATAAAAATAATTAAACAATTATTTCAATTAAATAATTAAAATTATTATAAATAATCATTTAAAATTATTATAAATTTTATAATAAATTATAAAAACTATAAAAATTATTATAAAAATTATAAATAATTAAAAATAAAAATAATTAAAAATAATAATAGATAGTTAGAATAGAAAAATTGTTTAAGCATGAGAAAATTTTCATAATAGAGAAAATTTTTGAGTAGAACCCTCAATCTGAAATGGCATATACAATATAACCTTTTTATCTATGTGTGTGTGTATCAGAAAATATTGAAAAGGAATAGATACTGTTGTTAACAGTGTCTATCTCTGAGTTAGGATATGTTTTGTTTTCCTTTTTAATTTATCAATTTTTTTCATGTGCATTCATTAATGCTTTTTATTTTTTATTATTATTTTTTATATTATTAAATTTTTTATATTTTTTACTTTCTCTTTTTCTCCACTGCAGGTGTGATAAATGACATTAATACTTTTTAATTGAAAGTAAAATTAGGACTCTCAAGAGGCTTCTGTTTAAAATGGTGTGATTTTCAGAAGCCCCAGTAGCCTAATGGATAAGGCATTAGCCTCCTAAAATGGTATGGTTTTCATTTTAACCGGCAGCAGTTTCTATGGCTAGTGGTGAAATGAGCATGCAGTCTGGTAAATGAAAAGTTCAGTGTTACAGAGACCTGGAAGAAATCAGGTCAAAGTGGGTAGTGACAGATGACATAGGGTCTACACTAAGTAAGAACACATTGTTTTACCTCTAAGAGCAGTTAATGATTGTTATATCTGGGATGCACCTTAGGAACCAATTAGACTTAACTTTCTAATTTACAGATTTAGAAACTGAACCCCAGGGAAGTAAAGTGATTTTCCTAAGCTCCAGAAGTGAGATACCAGGATCTAAGCTTCCTACACCACATAGACCATGCCTTTTTATTGGGTCGCCTCTGTAGCTACCTAGTTCTGGCTCTGTTGCCTATGTACAAATTTGGATACATCTGGGAGATTCTCTCTGATGCAGGTTAATTATAGATGGTCTGTTCTACCCCCATCTAGGGGAACTTTGGAAGACCAAATAAATTCTAAGACAGCTAGGAATATTTTCAATCCTCTGAAATGAGAATCTAAGGCATCTACATGGCATCTGCCCGAAGACCCTTCTGTATTTCAAAGATGACCTGGGAACACCTTGGACTGGGAACATCTGAGATTCTCAGGAAACATTCTAGGGACATATTCTAACTTGAATCATCACCACTTTTCCACCAGTTGTCATGGCAATGTGGCAGCACTGTCTCAGAGTCTGAATCTGACCATTGCCAGAAAAGGCTTTCATTCTTGGCTTACATAGGATGCACTCCTTAGAGAAGTGAAGGCACTGGAATAACATTTTCTATCAACAGTGCCTATTGAGTGAGCCCCACCAATGAACTCAACATGATGCCGGGCACCAGAGGAGCTCGGAAGAACTACAGGATATGATCCTGCTCTTGGTTGGGAGGACTTTGAACCGAGAGTCGAGAGTCAGGGGAGTGGCCTCAGGCTCACTCCTAACTAGCTCTGTGCCTCTGGGCCAATGTCACATCTTTCAAGCAAAGATGACATTACCATGCAATATGTTATTTCTGAGGAGCTAAAGGCTGAATTGTGGAGACAAGAGTAACACACATGTTTGGATAAAGAGAAGATTCAAAATAATATGGAACGAGAGGCTAGACTGGCTAGCTGGTAAGAGAAAAGTCAGCCAGGATTGGTGTAGGTCAAGTGGTTCTCCATGGGGTGGAAGAGGGAGAGACTTTCCAGTAGACAGAATTTGGAATGGATTTGGATTAGAGGAACAGCATAGGGCATGAGTCAGTCTTGAGCAAGGCGTATAAATTCTCATGGTTAGCGTGAAATAAGAGCTCTGAAGCAGTTCGTGGTCAATGCTGCAATTGGAGGAGGAATTTATTTTAGAGAACTTAATGTTTGGAGATTCCCCCAACAAACAGAGGGCTTCAGTCAGAGCAGAGTTCGAGTTTTACTGTTTTTCTGATAAATAAATGCATAGGATACAATGTGCCTGCTGTGTGCCTGATCCTCTTTGAAGTACTTATTGTTAATTTAGTTTTTGGCTTTGTTTTTTTTTTTTAAAAGAAGGGTTTGGGGGCTATGAGGAGGGGTGTTCAGTTCCCTTGTTTGTTTTCATTGAGAAAAAGTCTCACTCTGTCTGCCTGGGTAGAGTGCAGTGGCATCATTGTAGCTCACTGAAACCTCCAACTCCTGTAGGCTTAGCAATCCTTCTGCCTCAGCATCCTGAGTAGCTGGGACTATAGGAGTATAACTAAACACTTGGCTGGGGTTTTTTCTTTCTTTCTTTTTGGTAGAGACGGGGTCTCACTCTTGCTTAGGCTGGTCTTGAACTCCTGAACTCAGGGGATTAATTCCTGCCTCTGCTTCCCAGAGTGCTAGGATTATAGGTGTGAGCCACTGCCCCAGCCTATTTCTTGAATCTTCACAAGAGCTCTTTAAGTCAGCAAAGTGAAGCATGGAAAAATCTGTTTGTTTAAAGTCTCACAGCGAGTGAATGACAGACCCGGAGCCAAACTCTGATCATTCAGATGCTCCTTTCCTGTTTCCTGAAAAATATTTATAGAAAACATGGCCTTTGTTCCTAAGGGACATTACCACTGCCCCTTCCTGCCTCATTGAAATCTCTGGTCCAGCACAATGATCTGGGGGTTGGTAGATTTTTTTCATATCTTGTAAATAAATAAAAGTTAACAAGGAGCCACTGCTAAGGCTAAGATCCCAAGGGTCCCCAAACCCTCAGCTCTGCCTATAGAATTCTGCTCACACTGCCAAAGATGGGTGGGTTTGGGAGCTGAATTTCGGGTGGATGGTGGAATTTCCTAATTCCCATTCTTGAGCAACAAGGCTCTGGGCTTCCAGCAGCTAAGCCAGTCTTCTGAGATTCTCGGGCAAGAACGACTCCTGACTTCTCTTCCTCATTATCAACAACAACAAATAGTTATTGAGCACCACTCCTGGGCCAGAAGCCAGTGCTATGTGGAATACAAAGAGGAATAAGATAAAGGCCCCCTGCCCTTTAGGTAGTTTACAGTCTAGAAACAGATAACTGTAATTTAAGGCAAAATGTCACAAGTATCATATGGCATTATATCCCTGCTTCTGGATTTGACCAGTCTGGCTCCCAAGCAACTCCTGCATAGCTCCAAGGAAAGCACTGAACGGAAGGAGGTGGAAGCTGTGACTGGGTCCATGTAGCTGGGGCTGCATTTCCCAAAGCAGAGCAGGCTTGAGTCAAAGTAGGCAAAGAGGACCCAGCAAGAATCAGGGGAAGGTGGTCAGGCTGAAACGTGATAATTAGGGAGGATTTCTGAAAAGGCATATGTCCGGCCAGTCATGGTGGCTCATGCCTGTAATCCTACCACTCTGGGAGGTTGAGGGAGGAGGATCACTTGAGGCCAAGAGTTCGAGAAGAGCCTGAGTTAAGAGTAAGACCCTTATCTCTACAAAAAATAGAAAAAGTAGCCAAGCATTGTGGTGTGCACCAATAGTCCCAGCTACTCTGGAGGCTGAGGCAGGAGGATTGCTTAAGCTCAGGAGTTTGAGGTTGCAAGGGGCTATGAGGCACTGCACTCTATCCAGGGAGACAAAGCAAGACCCTGTCTCAAATACTTTAGTATCCCTGGGGGATTGGCTTTAGGACCTCCTGCAGAAACCAAAATCCACGAATGCTAGCTCAAGTCCCTGATATAAACTATATACATATAGTTTATGCATATAACCTACACACATCTTCTCTTATACTCTAAATCATCTCTAAATTACTTATAATACTTAATACAATGTAAATTCAATGTAAATAATTGTTATATTTATTGGTTTTTTATTTGTATTCTTTTTATTGTTATATTATTGTTTTTTATTAGTTCCCCCCATCCCCCCAAGTATCTTCTGTCCAAGGTTGATTGAATCTACAGATGGGGAACCCATGGATATGGAGAGGCCGACTATACTGAGAGGCAGGAAAAAACTAGAAGGAAAGGAGGGGCTTCACCAGGGCAGAAGAAACGAAGGGAGGTTGAGAGCAAGGAGAATATACATCGGCAGGACTGCGATTGTGAGGCTTAGGTCTGTACTGAAGAAACTAAGGAAATGGCTGGGGTGGCAGGTGAGAGGCTAGGAGAGCCCCCAAGGGCAAGTCCTAGCAGGGCCACCCCCTGCCAAGGTATATGTTGGAGCAAGACAGCAGAGGTTTCTGGTAACCGTGGCCAGAGGAGAGTCAGACTGGGTTTGAAGGGACCTGGCTCTAAGGGGCCAGGCTTCCCAGAGACAGATTCTGCAACTTCTTTGGCTTTAAACCCATGAGTCTGCTGTCTCCAGAGGCAGGGCTGTCTCTTCAAGAGGACTAAGGAAGAAGGGGTGTGGTTGGGGAAGTGCTGAATTTCCCTGTCCCCAGTCCACTTGGTTATTGCTGAGTTTGCGGCCAGTGTCCCTACAACAGAGCCCTTCAGTGAAGGTCCCAGCTCAAGCCAGCACTTCCCTTGCTTCCCAGGCACAGCAATTCCAACCTTTAGGGACACACATCCAGTCCTACCTACAGGGTCCACAATGCCCTGATATAGATCATGGCCATAAAACGACATCTCCCACCCCTCCTGCGCCTTCTTTCCAGAAACCTGCGACTTCCGATCCAAAGTCAGTCTCCAGTCTGAGGCAGGAACCACAACGTGCTCAATATAAGAACTCGGAAAGGATTATTAAATATTTGAACAGAAGGGGAAACAGGAAGCAATGAGACACAAAAGCACCCTCCAGACTGAGTCACACGGCTGTCGACTGAGGCAGGCCATGTCAGCCACAGCCAAAGGTAAGTGTAATTGGGTTATGCACATATTGTTTGGCCTGGAGAAATAGCTGTCTGTCTGTGGGCATTGTGCGCCAGCCACTCTAACTGGAAAGATAACAGAACCACTGTCAAAGAGCCCAAAGCTTCCATTTCAGTCCCAGAGAGCTGTCACCAAGCTGCTCTGGCTAGAGAGCATTAGTCCTCAGCAAGGGCTCAGACCACCAGTGTATCTACATGTAGACTGAGCTGTTACCTTTTACTGGTGACTTCTAATTTTTTTTCACCATTCTTTGGATAATTAATTAAAAACCTTCCATGATTTTGCCATTTAAGATAACACTTACAGATATATATAATCACAATGTATATAAAGTATTCTTTTTAAATTTTTAACTGTGGCAAAATACCCGGAACATAAAATGTAACATTTTAACCATTTTTAAATGCGTAGTTCATTAGAGTTAAGTATATCCGCATTGTTGTGCAACCAACCCATCTCCAGAAGTTTTGCATCTTGTAAAACTGAAACTTCATACTCAGGAAACAACCACTCTGCATTTCCCCCTTCCCTCAGATCCCAGAAACCATCATTCTACTTTCTGTTTCTATGAATTCGACTACTACAGATACCTCTTATAAGTGGAATCATATGGTATTTTTCTTTTGGTGACCGGCTTGTTTCACTTAATATGTCCTCAAGATTCATTTGTGTTGTGGCATGTATCAGAATTTCATTTCTTTTTTCTTTTCTTTTTTTTTTTTTTTTTTTTGAGATAGAGTCTCACTTTGTTGCCCAGGCTAGAGTGCCATGGCATCATGCTAACTCACAGCAACCTCAAACTCCTGGGCTCAAGCGATCCTTCTGCCTCAGCCTCCATAGTAGCTGGGACTACAGGCATGCGCCACCATGCCTGGCTAATTTTTTCTATATATTTTTAGTTGGCCAATTAATTTCTTTCTATTTTTAGTAGAGACGGGGTCTCACTCTTGCTCAGGCTGGTTTCGAACTCCCTACCTTGAGCGATCCTCCCACCTCGGCCTCCCAGAGAGCTAGGATTATAGGCGTGAGCCACTGTGCCTGGCCAGAATTTCATTTCTTTTTAAGGCTAATATTACATTAGCCTTTATAGCCACATTTTATTTATCTGTTCCACCATTGATGGATATCTGGGTTGCTTTTGCTTTTACCTTTTGATTATTGTGCATAATGCTATTTTGAATGTACATAAAATTGTATATTCTACTTTTCACTCCGATTATAATATCAATGGGTGTGTATATATATAGAATATAAATTACATATATATACACTATAATTTCAGAATATTATGGGGGTACAAACATTTTGGTTACATATATTGCCTTTGCACCACCCACGCCAGAGCTAAAAATGTGCCCACCCCCAGATGGTGTGCTCTGAACCTATTAGTTGCAAATTTACCCATCCCCTCCACCCCCTCCCACCTGCCCAGCACCCAATGAATGTTACTTCCATGTGAGCACTTAAGTGCTGATCAGTTAGTACCAATTTGATGGCCACCTACAACTCTTAATGTCAGAATAATATAGATCTACGGAGCCTCCCAAGATTCCACCATGAGCTCTGCTCTCTCCTGCAGCCATCCATCCAGTCATCATCCATACAAGGAATATTCCCTAGAGGCTACTGTGTGCCAGGCACCAAGCTTGTATTGGCATGCAGAGACACAGTGCACAGTTGGCCTTTACAGAGGCCATAGACATTGGATTTTTATGGCTTGAGAACAACATGCATAGATTCTTTTCCCCTGAGAGTGTTCTAAGATTTGTTTCTTTCCCAGAAGCAATTGGGGTACAAGTAGCCTCGTTGACTAAGCAAGCAGCTGGGGACAGAAACTGCACTCTGGTTCCGTCTTGTCTTCCAGTTTGTATCCAGACCCAGGCAAGAGTTAAAGAAAGTTCAATGACTGATGAGCACAGATGAGAAACAGCGCAGCCCAGTGCCTCTTGGCTTAGGATAACATCTCCCCTCTCTTTACCCTTGCCAGCCCTGCCTTCCTGCCTTTGATGCAGGGAGCGAAAGGTCTGAATGAAACCTGTTGGAGGTTCCAATTAAATCTTTGTGGACAAAGGGCACACAGACGCACGCGCACACACAGCATCCTCAGATAACAGTTTGCAATAAATCAATCAGCAACGTTCACTTTCAGAGAGCAGTTCCTGCTGCCTTGCTCACAGCTACCAGCACCAGCACCTCACTGAGTGCTCACACCAAGATGGGCTCTAAGGTAAGATTTTTTTTCCTCCCTCTGGACAAATTTAATCCTTCCTTGTAATTTGTGTCTCTCACCAGAGGATTTTGACTGTAATGTTTACTATCGATTTGTCGGCAAATTCCTGGTTTTGTTTGGATTTGTTTTGAGGTTTTAGTGTGTGGTTGTTGTTTTGTTTTGTTTGTTTATCTTTCTCTCTTGGACTTACTTTATTTACTTCGTTCCATTTTATATCTTTTTGTTTTCCACTGCTTTTCTTTTAGTCTCTTATTTTCATCCTTGTGTATTCTAAATAAATTTGTATTTAGAAATACCTTATTTATACAGAGAAATGGAGGGCCTTAAGGAATTGCATGCATTTTCTGGTTAAAACTTATCTGGAAATTTGGTTCACTTGGGACCTTGATCACTTGGATCTGTAGCATGGGGGATGTTCTTCTTCCAGCTGTGGGCTTAGAACAGGGTAGCTCAATGCTTGGAATGCTTCCAATATTTGAGGGTGACTATTGAACCCCAGTGATAATCCTTTAAAATTATTTACTTCCTCAATTATGAAAGTAGCTCATTATAGAATATTTTGAAATGATAAAAAAAGAAAGGAAAAAGAAGATAATTTAAATAATTAAATTATAAATAGCTGGCATCTGGGTATCTTACTAGTCTCTCAATACACATATATTTATTTTTACATAATTGAGATCAAGCTGTAGATACAGTTTAATATCATTTTTTTACTTAACATTATATTAGTAGTATTTTCTAAGTCAATAAAATTATTTGAAAACATGATTTTAAGAGCTGCTTAATATTCCACCATTAAAATGTTCCCATTTTTTCACTAATAAGAATAATTTAGCAATTGATAATTTTGAACATAACTTTTTGTCTGTACCTCTGATCATTTTCTTAGGATAGGTTCCTTGAAGTAGAGTTATCTAATCAAAGGGCCTGATACATTTTGTGGCAGTCATCTATTTTAAAATTTAAATGATTTGTATTGCTGATAATGCAACAGAAGCCACATAAAAGAAAATGAAATTCTTCCCAGAAGCTGTTATTACCTAGTACTGTGACTTAATGCTGACTAATGATTTGAAATCCTAAATAGGAAACTGATCATGAAAGTTAGCATTTTATTTCCACAGAGTTTATTCTAGCTTAAACAATAAAAGTGTGTCTGGTATTACAGAGCAAGGGAAACTAGTGGAGAATAAGTCTACAAGTTAAAAAACTTCAGATTTCATCCCTGTTTGGCACTAATTGTGTGACCCAAAACTGATCTCCTAACCTCCTGAGTCTCAGATTTCTCATCTGTGAGATGAAAGTGTTGGTCTAGGCCAATGCTTCTCAGTGGGCAGTGCAAGTGACGCTTGTGCCACGTGAAATATTCTTGGGTTGCGTATAGAACATAGACGATAATTTTGGGGTGGTGTGTAGACAAAGAACATATTTTTTTTTCTTTTTGCAGGGTCCATAAAGTTACTTTTTTTTTTTCTTTTTTTTTTTTGAGACAGAGTCTAACTTTGTTGCCCAGGCTAGAGTGAGTGCCGTGGCGTCAGCCTAGCTCACAGCAACCTCAAACTCCTGGGCTCCAGCGATCCTACTGCCTCAGCCTTCCAAGTAGCTGGGACTATAGGCATGCGCCACCATGCCCGGCTAATTTTTTCTCTATATATTAGTTGGCAAATTAATTTCTTTTTTTTTATTTATAGTAGAGACGGGGGTCTCACTCTTGCTCAGGCTGGTTTCAAACTCCTGACCTTGAGCAATCTGCCCGCCTCGGCCTCCCAGAGTGCTAGGATTACAGGCGTGAGGCACGACGCCCGGCCTAAAGTTACTTTTTAACCTTAAAGGAAAAGATGAAGTAAATAATAGCCCAGGTAGTCATCAGCTATGTCTGCTATGACATAAACTATCAGGTGATAGGCAAATGTCTCTGATTTGAAAAACACAGACATAGATGATCTGTGGTCTGTTTAATGTTTCAGGTATAATTCCAGATGTAAATAGCCAATAAGCAACACTTACATGAAAGGCATTTTGGAACCCAGGTAGAGTTATAGAGATGTATGAAAAGTGAACAGTGATACAGATATGGAAACATTTCCAAATACCATCCTACTACTTGCAACCTTTTGACTTTTCATTTTCCTAGTGACTTTTGCTCGTCTGGGCAGACTTCCTCCCCTCTTCTGTAAAGGCTGCGGAAGACCTGCAGCTGTAACAGGACCCTCCCCAAGAACCTGCAGGAGACGAGTGCCCCCGCTCCGCCCTCACCATGCTCAGGACTGTTCTAGAAACTCCCCAGAGGTGGCTGAAGGAGGGGAGATCTTCCCGGCAGCTGGTGCTGGTGGTGGTCTTTGTTGCTCTTCTCTTGGACAACATGCTGCTCACTGTGGTGGGTACGTTTGGGGGTCTTTGTGCTGAGGGTGAACTTGAACTTGGGCCCCAGCAGGCAGCACACACCCTGCTGGGTTTCAGCAGTGAATGGACTTGACAATGTTTCTTTTTAATGCTCAAAACCACACAGAGGTTGCCAGGGATTGGAGGGAGCTGCAGGAAATGGAGTCTGAACCTTGCCAAATGTTGCTAAAAGACTCCAGAGGTTCAAAGAGGGGGAGGTTCAGAGAGCATCAGACCAGAAGAGCTGTGGGCTCCTTCCTCCCCAAACTGTCTTCCCAAGGTGCTGATGACGCCCCGTGCCCTGGGCAGCGAGCAGCATCTCACCGCGTGGCCTTTCCCGCCTCTGTTCTATGAATATAGCACAGTTTATTTGGATAGCCGAGTCCTTATCAAGACTTGCCTTCCTTGCGGTTCATTCCCTTAGAGTCCTGCTTTTTCCAGTGGCTACTCGTAATTGTTGCATTAAGTTGCGTCAGTGTATAAATAGGTACCAATACGTTGCCCCTCCTGGGTAAAATATATGTGAAGTGTTCAATGACTTGCCCATGATAGGATTCAAGCCTGTCTGTGTCTAACATCTAACAGGGCCCAGAGCTGGGGCTGCCGGTATCGCATTGCCCCATCCCCTCCCGCCCCCATCCTCTGGTCACATCTGTGTGAGAGCAGGAACAGGAAAGCAGACCCCACCTGGTTCCACCTCCACTGGAACATATTCCTATGTCTGCAAAAAATTGTGATAGCAAGTGTTGATTCGGGTATTACACAGAAATTTTAGTGAGTAGACAAATTAGCCAATACGGATTCCACGAATAAAAAGGACTAACTGTATGATGGTCACTGGCATTTAGGTACTTTAGCTAATAGGATAATTTGGGCAGCAGGATCTATCAGCAGGCTTTAAATCATGTCACTTAGACACTTTCGTTGAGCATAAAACCAAGCCTCATCATAGTGCCCCAGAACCAATCTGTCCTTAGCCTTCACCACCTGTCCTTGACTTTCAGTGCCTGTTGTGCCCACCTTCCTGTATGTCACGGAGTTCAAAGAGGTCAACAACTCTCCACACCTCAGCCATGCCCTGAGTTCCCCGCCTGCCCTTGCCTCTCCCACTTTTTCCACTGTCTTCTCCTTCTTCGACAATATCACCCTGGCTGTTGAAGAAAGTGCACCCAATGGCACAGCACGGACAAATGACACTGCTGGCATCAGCCCCCCTCTAGTTACTGAAGCCGTCTCGGCACGCAAAAACAACTGCTTGCAAGGCACAGAGTTCTTGGAGAAAGAGAACACCCGCGTTGGGGTTCTGTTTGCTTCAAAGGCTATAATGCAACTTCTGGTCAACCCATGCGTGGGACCTCTCACCAACAGGTATGTCAGTGGGTGCAGTGCCCCACAGGGTGCTCAGGGACTCAGGAACAGGAGGATGAGCTGAGGTACATAAAGGTGGTTTAGAAGGGAAAAGGAAGAATATTCACGTGTCTTGTCCCCAGGGCAGTTGGCTATTTAGGAAGCTGATTACCCCAAAGGATAGCATATTATTGATGCAATGCATGGGCTTTAGATTTTCTTAGTGATGTGTTGAACACTGACTATAAAGAAGAGAGCCAATGAATCGCAGTGTGCTATTGTTATTATGTCTGTGTTATCTATGGAACATGGCTTGAACAGATGAGGGCTGGAAGGGGACAGTCCTATTGCAATCCTAGAGCACTGGCTTCCCAATGACTGCGTTTAGGGTTATCCTGATGTTTCAAAGGGATATATACTCCACCTGGGCTATCCTTTCTGGAAATGAGAATCTTGGCCCTGGTCTATGAGTAATTTTGCAAGTTTGTTTATTTGCTTGTACTCATTCATGTGTCACATTCCATCTCCACATCTGCATTCAGAGGCAGGTTTTACCATGTGCTCAAATAATTGCAGTTCTGTTCCTGCTTACATTAAAAAAACATAATTAAAGTATATGAATGCCTATTGGAATTGTATCTTTGTTTTTTTTAATTCCCTTTTAGGATTGGATATCACATTCCCATGTTTGCTGGCTTTGTTATCATGTTTCTCTCCACAGTTAGTAAGTAACTTGCTGCCTCTTTCCTTCCCTTTACTAATTGTCTTTGATCTTATCATGTGAATTTAGAGTAGAGAGTTGGGTAGACCAGAGAGTAACTAAATGTCTGACAAAGTGGACTGGAAAGTTGGTTTAAATGCTTTGTAGTTTTCGGTGTGGAAACTAGAACAGTAGTGGCAACTCAGTCTAGTTGGAATTCGTCTATTCTGCTGTAGAAGAACAGATACTTTATTTACTTGAGCTGGGAAATTATGAAGGCTGTTCGAATGTGTATGCTATAGTGTCTCTGTGTGTGTATCTATCGGTAATCCCTTGAGCAAGTTTAATACAACCTCCCAGCTTCAGGAAGAGATCATATTATTTTGATATGCCATGGTAAAGGGCAAGTAACCAAAAAAAAAAAAAAAAAATTGGACATCAGCGTCTGGAAAATTCCAAGAAGTCTGTTGCTTTCCAGTTAAAGACATTAAAGGTTAGGGCTTAGGAAAGTAAATTTGCTAAAGAAGCAAGAAGGAGAAAACAAATAGTCCACCCAGCATCTGCTAAATGTTCTTAATAAAATGGAGATGGAATAAAAAAACAGTAAGTGAGAAAAACAGGTCTGGAAATGAACCCTGAGAAGTAAAATAAGGAGTAAGGAATGGGGTGTTTGGGGGTTCATGCAGGGGGATGTGGGGACCCACTTTGGCTGTGATGGTTCTGCTGACTCCCTGCTCTTGAACAACACACCTCCTTCTCCCTCATGTTTTTCTTATTGGCTTTCTGTTGGTTACCTGCTTTCTCTATTCTTCTTCTTCTTCAACTTTTCTCCCTTTGGATGTGAAGTTTTGTCTTGAGAACTGCATCTTCATAGTAAAAGTCCAGCTGAATCAAAGAAAATGAGGACATTCAACTTGGCAATGTTGATTGAAATTCTAGAAGCTTGGCCTATGCTAGACAGCAAATTAAGAAATAATAAGATGCCCTATTTTATCAAATGAGATTTAACATTTTTTCCGTAAAACTATACGGAGCACATGTATTATGCCTCGATGGTGACAGTCATGTATAGAATGAAAAGACATGGTTCCAGAGGTCCAGGAGTGTATAATGGTTGCTTAGGGAGCAAACACCTTGCAAAATAAGACAATGCAGTGTGCTAGTGGATCCTGAACTCTTTAGCATAAGGTCCTTGCCTAATTCTCAGCCAAGAACTCATGTTTTTAAAAGCTTTGCTTTTCTTTCTTTCTTTCTTTCTTTCTTTCTTTCTTTCTTTCTTTCTTTCTTTCTTTCTTTCTTTCTTTCTTTCTTTCAATATTTTTGAGACAGGATCTCACTCTGTTGTTTTCTTATCTACCTAACAATATGTATTAAATAATTATTTTTTCCATGAGATAACCAGTGTTCTATACTGAGTTGGCCTAATTGTAGCCAAAAGGAAATACATTTGGTGTTTAGGATATCCTTGTAGCATCATTCAGTGTTTTAAAAATACTTAAAAGAGGTTGCTGACACTCATTACTACCCTAAACTTCCCAGCTAGGAACTGTAATTAATGTAATTAGGACCAAAATGGAGGCCCATGCAAAGGGTGCAAAGTGAAAAGCAAATTGCCTTGGTCTTCTTAAGTAGGGGGACCAGCTACCCTGGTTTGCCTGGGATTGAGGGGTATCTTAGTCCCTTTAGTGTTGCTATCAAGGAATCCCTGAGGCTGGGTAATTTATAGAGAAAATAAGTTTATTTAGCTCATGGTTCTGTACAAGAAGCATGTCACCAACATCTGCTTGGTCTATGGTGAGGGCTTCAGGTTGCTTCCACTCATGGCAGAAGGCAGAGGTGAGCCAGAGGTGCAAAATGGCCTGGTAAGAGAGGAAGCAAGAGAAAGAAGGGGGAGGTGCCAGACTCTGTTTAACAGCCAGCTCTTGCAGGAACTATAGACTGAGAACTCACTCACCACCCCTCACCATCACTGCCCCCAGAACATTAATCTATTCATCACCCATGACCCAAACACCTCCCATTAGATCCCACCTCCAACATTGGGGATCCGATTTCAACATGAGATTTGGCGAAGATAAACAACCCATATCTAAATTATAGCAAGGGGTTTTCCAGGATATAAAACAACTTAGTTTTTGTGGGATTTTTTTTGATATTGAGTTTTAAAACCATGAAATTTCTGGGCAAACCAAGGCAAAGGACATTTAAGAATAGTGGAATGAATAGATTGGAAATCAGAAATCCAGGATATATGTTTGGGAGACAATGAGTAGTTCAGTGTGATCATGTAATGAAGTAATGGGAGAAGATTATAAACACAACCAGAAGACATCTGTAATGCATGGGTAAGGGGATTAAAATTCTTCTGATTCAGACACTTTGGGGAGGTTCTTCTCGCTTTAATAGACACTGTTCTGAAATTGGAGGTGAGACATGTCTGGGCTTACTACCCTGACCACCAGCACCCTGTAATTTAGTTTTGGATAACATATTCCTATTTGGTTCTCAGTTTCACATATGTTAGTCTCCAATAGACTGAACCTCTTCAAGGGCATGAACTGAATATTCTCTCAACTTCACATCTGCTACAGAGTCTAGCAGAGCTGTGTGTTTAGTATTTCTTAATAAATACTAATTCAATTTGGTTAAAATATCTTCTAATATAAGGTAAGGGGCAGGATCTGACTAGATCATGAGATATTATTTTCTACCTAATGCCCCTAGTCCCTGAAGCACATGACATTGCCACCATACCCAAGAAGACCCAGTGGTGCCCAGCAGTGGCAAAGACCAAATCTGGGTGTGCATATGGAGGACGTAGGAGTGGGGTCTAAGAAATAGTTCCCAGCCTGGGGAACTGGGTTTCATGGACATTCCTGATTCCAGCGGATGGGATGTTGGGTTCTCTGCATGGTGAGTTGGCATATGCTTCTGTGGTTTCTCAGTCTTCTTGCCAACTAAAAAGCAGTTCTGATTGGGGGATGGAAGATTAGAAAGACAATTCCAAAAACAGGGAGCAGTCATCCTGCGTTATTAAGACATGTGCATAATGACTCAGATCTGCAATGTCATGGGCATGTCTTCTGGTGGCTGGGGAAGCTGAGATAATTTGCTAACTGGAGTTTTCTTGCTATTTTCTTTGCCCAGTGTTCGCTTTCTCTGGCACCTACTCCTTGCTGTTCGTCGCCCGAACCCTTCAAGGCATTGGATCTTCATTTTCATCTGTTGCAGGTAACAATTGATATCTTCATTACACACACACACACACACACACACACACACACACACACACACATCTCTTACTCGCTCAAACCCTATGAGATTTATATGAAGACATTAAGGAAAATAGCATCCTGGTGGATAGAAATTGTGATTCAGAAACAAGGCAAAGGACCCATAAATCCCTAAGCCTGACATAATAACTTCTTCTGATAATATTCAGATGCAGCTAGCTCAGGTCAGAACAAGCCCATGGTAACACCGTGAAGTAGACCAGACTTTCATAATATTTAGTGCTACTTAATGGTCCTTTCTCTGTCCCCTATTAATCTTTCTTAGGAATAGAAATAACGATAATAATAATATTACTTAGGAACAGTAATGTTAACACTACTGCTGTTAATACCCCCATGGTCTGGAAAGTATTGCCAAATACAGTATTTACTGGAATCCCATGAAGTTGGTATTTTATGCCTATTTACACCAGATGAATGGACCTAGGCGTGCAGCTGCCATGTAGCACCAGCCCACACCCTCCCCAGGTCCTAGTGCCCTCAAGCTCCTCCTCGGGCACCTCTGCTGAATAGAACAGTCTCTGTGTTGCTGGGTTTTCCTTTTCCTAATCTGCTCCACCGCAGTCCTCTCGTTCAGGGAAGTGCACTAGGGCATGATCAAACGCCATGAAATGCTGTGTAACTGGGTGGTGGCGTTCCGTGTCACCTCTCCAGAGGCCTTTGCACTTCCAACAATGCTCTGAACAGCAGGTTGAGCACTCTGCAGGTTTGGTGAGCACTGCAGGGGCAGTATTTGTGGAATATTATGGGTTATGTTTTAAAATTCCTGAGACCGAAACCCTAGCGAGGATTCTCTCTGAAGATACAGCAGGGCAGGGACCGAGGACTCCACCGGGGCAGGCAAAGCTCCCACGTTTTGGCTCCATCTGCTTCTCCCCATGCAGGTCTCGGGATGCTGGCAAGTCTTTACACTGACGACGGTGAGCGGGGGCGGGCCATGGGGACCGCCCTAGGGGGCCTTGCCTTGGGACTATTGGGTAAGTGGCACCAGTGGGCGGTAGGAGTGGTGGCTGGTGGAATGCAGACCCTCTGGAGATGCTCCAGGAGGCCGGTGCTCCCAAGGTCGTGGAAGACTCGTGCTTTCCTTCCTTCCCTGGCCCAATCATATTTTGACCCCTTCAGAAATATTGCTGAGGAAAGATGAAATTTCTTTCTCTCTAAGACGCTGAACAGCCCATAAGGACCTGGGAAAGTTCTGGAAACCCAGCCTTTTGGCAGAAGTGAACCTCCCCACATTAGTGGCCACTGCCTGGCTCTGCTTCCAGGCATGGACAGAGCATGCCCTTTGCCAGATTCTCTGCTAAATTCATTACAGACATAGTCTCCTTTATTCCTCACCACTACCCTGTGAAGGAGGAATAATGCCCCCATTATAGAGAGGAGGATAAGAAAGGATAAACAGCCATCCAAGGTCACCCAGCCAGGAAATGCCAGAGCCAGGATACAGATTGATTTTCTGGGCTCTGAAGCTCTTTTCTGGGCTCCCAAGCTCCAAACCATAAGGTCATACTTTCTCTGGGGCTCATCCCTTGTATGACTTAACTGACAAGCCACATACTTTGCTGAGCACTATTGCAGAAGGGATTTAGGTGAGACAGCGTTCCTGCCCTCCAGGAGTTTACAAGCTCATTGAAAAGAAAACATCGAAATCTTTTCCCTGATCTATGCCCCACCTTCTACCACCACAAGGAGGAGAGGAAATGAAAACTCTTGTTATTTGTTAGTATCCATCAACCCAAATACACAGCCTAAAACTCAGGTGCATCCTGGACTTATTCATCATCAGTCATTCCCAAATGAATAAGCCCCATTATATCTACTCATCACTTCTTGGTTGGAATATGGCACCTGCCTCCCGCCTGGGCTCTGTTGCATCCCTTCCTCCCTCCACCATGCCACCAGAAGAACCTCCTGAATGCAGAACTGGTGGTGTTTCTCCCCTGATGTCTCTCCCTAGGCCACAAGGCCAAGTAGACACCTCGGCTAGATACACAGGACCCTCAGCTCCATGGCCTCAACCTTCTTCCCCATCTGCACTTTTCTCCTCCCAAATACTCATACTCTAGTAACACCCACTTTTTTCTCTTTCTTCTCCACCTGCACTCTCTTTTCTGACACCTCTGTGTTCTTCATACAGGCTTCTGCCCCACCAGGCACTAAGCATTTGGCAAAACTCTTGCGGTTACCTGGACTTCTGACACACTCTACTGTGCTTACATCACCCTCTGTGCAATCCTTTGCTGTTGACCTTTTCACCATGTTCTAATCGTTCAGTCCCCCAACACATACGTTTCCTCCAGTAGATAGTGAGCTCCTCGAGGCAGTGACCCTGTCTTCTCTATTTCTGAATCCCTTGAACCTCCGGTGGAATTGAGCCCTAGCAGGCCTTCCATAAATGCCCACGGAGTAAATGTGCACAAGTTTCCTGGGCTGGGATTCACCCTCACCTCTGGAACCTGTGCCTGCTTTGCCTTTGCAGTGGGAGCTCCCTTTGGAAGCGTGATGTATGAGTTTGTTGGGAAGTCTTCTCCCTTCCTTGTGTTGGCCTTCCTGGCACTACTGGATGGCGGTAAGTCACCCGTAGAGCCCCCAGGCAGGTGGCAGCCCAGGCCAGTGCTCTTGTGTCCACCTTGACTAATACTAATAAGTGGTGTGGGCTTGTTTGGATGGGTCAAGGATTGCCCCATCCTAGGAAAGAAGGAAGAAACTCAGGGAGTTGGATTTGTATGTGACGGGTGGCACCAAGATGGCTGGTATTGGAGCCCCCCGCTAGTCAGTGGAGAGACCGAACCATCTCCCCCTCTCTTTCCTAGCTCTCCAGCTTTGCATCCTGCAGCCTTCCAGAGTCTCTCCGGAGGTAAGTAGACACCAAGCTCCATTGCTAAGAGATATATGGAAAGGCGAAGTGCAGGGAACCAGGCATGCCTATCAAACCATCAGAAGAAAGGTGAAAGGAAGTAGAGTCAGGGAAAGTGGGTACTTGGATTCCCAGTAGGGTCACATTTAGGGTAGTGTGGGACGTAGTGAGCATATTTGGCTTGATGTTGGACAAAGATGGCAGAAGGGCCTTATGAAGAATCAAAGAAGCCTTACACAATATACAGATATGTATATATGTACATTTATGTGCACACACACACACACACACGCATTTGGAACCAGGAGATGATGACTTTGAGACCTGAGTATTCAGAGTTATAACATCATCTCAGAGACAGGAAAGGCTGTGGTGGCCATCCAGACAATGTCTCCCCCAATATAGGACATCCTTCAAGAGCATCCCCACCAGACTGCCATTCTGTCATAGTTAATAAATGTCAGAGTTGGCATTTGTATGACTCCAAGCCAGAAATGGCTCTGGAAAATCCATATCAAACCATGAAGCAAGGAAGATAAGAAAGTGCATAAAATATGGAAAAGTTTGATCTAAAGACCTTGACTTTGCATTCCACAGTCCATCAACAGATTCCAGAAGTAATTATAATAATAGAACTTACAGTTCTTCAGGGCTTTTTAACATACCAAGAACTCTTCTTAGTATACTCTCTGTGCTGCATCTTATAAATGTCATGAAATAAGTAGTATTTTTAGCTTTATTCTACAGATAACGAAATTGAGGGAAAACAGAGATGCATCTGAAAGAATGTGAAACTATAACATAATCAACACTTTTAAAGGGCTAATTCCCCCACTGCAGCTAGGAGCCTCCTGCAGTCTGCTGAGTTGCTGCTGCTCTTTGGGAACCGACTCTAGGAGTAGGATGTCTGGCAAGGGATGTAGCCACCACCCAGCCAGGACTCCTCAGGGCAAGGAGCACCAAATGCCTTCTGCGCAGGCGCCCAGGCCTGGAACATGCTTGCCCCAGAAACCGAAATATGAGCACTCGTTGTGCTCTTCACTGTTGAGGTCTCCTTGTTTCTAGGCCATTTCAGTAGCAACGTTAGTAAACACACATACACACACACACACACACACACAAGTTCACACTCTGAGACCTCTATTTCCAGCCTGACTCCACAAGATTTTTTTTTGCTTTCCCCATTCCTTATTTTTATTTTCCTTCTTTTATAGTGAGAATCCTAGCTCCCGCCCACATCAAAACATTTACCTATTTGTGCAAACGTACAATACTTTTAATTTATATACTCTTACTACTACAAAAAACAAATCTACCAAGAAGTGTTCAAGATTTTTGCAGTTCTTTTTTCCTTAGACTTAGGGAATATATTCGAAGTACTATGTTTACAAATTACTATACTCGCATTCGTTCTTTTGCCCATCTTTAGTGTGATTGTATAATGCATGATGCATTTAAAATTCAATTGTGTTCATTAGTTTTTCTTTGCATTTAGTTTTAGGATTTTTTTCTCTGTTCTTGCTAATCGTATTAGTCTGTTCAAGCCGCCATTATAATATACTACAGACTGGGTGGCTTAAACAACAGATATTTATTTTCTCACAATTTTGGAGGCTGAAAGTCCAAGATCAAGGGGCTGCTAGGATTGGTTTCTGGTGAGGCCTCTCTTCCTGGCTTGTAGACGGCCACCTTTTCCCTGTGTCCCCACCTGGCCTTTCCTCGCTGTGTGTGCACAAAGAGAGAGATCTGCTGTCCCTTCCTTTTCTCATAAGGACACTAATCCTATTAGATTGGTGCCCCACTCTTATGACCTCATATAACCTTAATTACCTCCCTAAAGTCCCTGTCTCCAAATATAGTCATATTAGGGGTTAGAAGTTCGATAAATCAATTTGGCGGAGGGAGACACAATATTGTCCATAACACTAATATAATTTTATTTTTTGAATATACAGAACATGACTATCTAAAGGTCAAAATTATTCAAGAAAATATACTCAGACGGTGTTAATCCCTCCACAATCTTTCTACCTTCCCCCTACCCTGCCCCCACCACTTATAGGTAACCAACTTTATTGTTTTATGGTTTATCTTTCCTATGCTTTTGTTTTTTACCCAAAATAGTTTACGTGTTTTCTTATTTCCCGCTTTTTTCTTACATAAAAGGTAGCATACTATATATTCTGTGTGTTCTCCTTTTATTCTCACTTAACAATATATCCCCAAAATCACTCTTTATTAGATCATAGAGTTCTTCCTTATTGTTTTCCAGCTTTATGGTCCACACACACACACACACACACACACACACACACTCACACACACACAATTGTGTGTATATCATATTTTACTCAATCTCTTATGTTTGGCCATTTAGGTAGTTTTTGGTGCTTTGCAGTTACAAATAGCACTGCAATTAATAAACTTATGTGTATGCCTTTTAATAATGTTGGCAGTAATCTTTAGAATAAATTCCTAGAAGTGGGATTGTTGGGTCAAAGGGTTTATTGGACTTCTTTATATGTCTTTTTTTTGTGATTCACATCAGTTTGTTTACATTGAATTATATATGGGGCAAGTGCATGATCATTTCAGTTTTAGGATCTCTAAATATCTTAATCCACCCCTGTGTGTGTGCAAAGAGGGTTATCAAAACTATTAAATTTGCTAAAAGACAGAATACAGTAAACACCATAGAAGACAGTGCTCAGGAAGTTTGAAAGAGGGAGACATTCCAGGTACTGAGTCAGGGAACATTCTAGAAAAGAAGGAACCATTTAAGCTTGACCATAAAGAGTGGGCAGGATGTGGAACCGTGGAGAGGAGAAGGCAGGTAGTTAAGGCAAAGGTAGTAATGATGGCCAAGGGACTGCTGGGTGCATGGCAGGAGGGTGGGTGACCAAGTTTAGCTGGGATGAGAAAAGGTCCTGAAGGGAGAAGACATTGGAACTGGATGTTTAGGCTGGCATTTTACCCTAGGTGTTCAAGCTGCTTCTGCTACCCCAGTCCAGTGTTGGCTCAAAATGGTCAGAACAAAGAATTCAGAAAGCTTGAAAGGCTTTCTGAGTATGGCCTCTATGCTCAGTTTTGGGATTCAGCATTCTGCCTGTGGCTCTCCTAGGACAGACAGTGCCGGGGAGTCTAGCAGAGAGACTCAAGACCAGGAAGCAGTCCAGATATCTGTGGTCCAATCCTGGCCTTGCTACCGATCCACTCTGGCTGATGCTCATTTGAAGGCAGGAGTCACTTCTGGCCTATGGTGCCCCCTCTCTGAGGCCACCACAGTGCCTGCCTGGCACACAGGAGGGGCTCTGCCTCCACTCGTTCTGGGACATCAGGCAAGTCCCTGGGCTTTCTCTCCCTGGACTGGGTGTCCTGGTCTGCGGCGATGGAGCTGATGTAGAAATGGTCTTTAAGGCCTTCTCCGCACATTCTCAGATTCTGTGAGAAGAGGAGATATGTATACACTGTACAAATGGAAGTGTTTTTGTCATCTGTGTTCTCAGAGTGTCAAGGGGACTCCGCTCTTCACGCTTCTCAGAGACCCTTACATCCTGGTGGCTGCAGGTGAGCTGGCAGTGGCCTCCCACTGGGACGGGAGAGTCTGGGCTGCAGGAAGCCACAGGGGCTCACAGCACTGTCCCCCCCAGGTTCCATCTGCTTTGCCAACATGGGAGTGGCCATCCTGGAGCCCACACTGCCCATCTGGATGATGCAGACCATGTGCTCCCCTGAGTGGCAGCTAGGTAAGTGACCTTGCCACCTGCTCAGGCCGGGGCAGGAGGCAGGTGCTTTGGGCCCTTCCTCTTAGGTCCAGGTCATCAGTGTCACACAGGGACAATGTGCTTCCTTCTTAGAATGACCTTCCAGGTCCATACCGATGAATCAAGCTTGAGTGGGTAGGCAGTCCCTCAGAGAAGCATTCTGAGGAAGGGTATGGTGGCAAGGGGATGATTGAAGGGTCACATACCTAGCTATATAGTAGAATAATTAAAGAATTCCAGTCTAAAGGCCTAGGTTTTGGTTTCAGCTTCATTGATTGCCTACGCAGACTTGTGCAAATCACTTAGACTTTCTGAGCATCACTTTTCTCATCTCCAAAATGAGCATCATAATTCTACCTAGTTCAAAGGGAAATTGGATGAATAAATAATATAAGATGTGGAAATGCTCTGCACCACATACAGTATTAATATGCACCACCATTACCATCCTCACTTTCCTCTCTTCAATGCTCCATCCCTGAGATTACCCCTTTGCTGTCTTTTCACCTCTCAAAAGGTGCTTACGTAGCACTCACTTAAGGAAGGTGCTGGGCTCTGTGTCCCAGGAGAGAGAGCTCCAGTGTCCTATTCTCCGTGCAGAGATTCAGAGAGGAGGCTCCAGCCATTCCCAGGAAGCCTGAGGAAAGGGGGAAGAGAAGGCTACGTGCAAATCGCTCCGTCACTGCAGAGAAGAGAGGCTTATGGAGCCAGAGGGGAAGCCGATAAGAACGTGATATAGCTCAGCATGCAATAAAAAGCACTAAATCTAATTTTTAAGGGACGGTGCTAAGCAAGGCTCCCAGCTGCACTCCTAGCCCCAAATTGAATTTTTCTGGGCTGCAACTGCCTCTGACCATGACAATTAATTGAATTAGTCAGTGTTCGGTGCAGATAACACATCCACTGCCCCAAGGGTCTGGACAGTTGGGCTCTTGGTGCCAGCGAGCAACTGCAGCACAGCCCTAATACACCAACCCAGTTACCAGCCTCAGTTACCAGTTACCAGTTACCACCATGTTTCACAGCTTTCCTCAGTGCTGTCTGGTCTGTAAAATCTGACATCAAAGGCTCTCACATGATTACATCAGGATCATCAGGAGAGCTTGTTAAATGCTAAATGAGGCTGGGCATGGTGGCTCACACCTGTAATCCTAGCATTCTGGGAGACTGAGGTGGGAGAATCACTTGAGGTCAGGAGTTCGAGACCAGCCTGAACAAGAGCAAAACCCCTGTCTCTACTAAAAATAGAAAAATCAGCCAGGCCTGGTGGCATGCACCTGTAGTCTCAGGAGGCTGATGCAGGAGGATTGCTTCAGCCCAGGAGTTGGAGGCTGCAGTCAGCTATGATGACACCACTGTACTCTAGCCAGGGCAACAGAGCAAGACCCTGTCTCAAAAAACAAAATTAAAGAAAATTTAAAAAGCTAAATTAATATCATAATACCATCTAGTGCAAAGATAAATTGGAAGAATAAATGAAGATCCTGAGTGACCTTGAGTGATTCAGTAAACACAAGCTGTCATTCCCATTAAGTTTCCAGATGATGCTGATATGGTTGGTCAGCAACTCCCCTTTGAAAACCACTGCTCTGCATAAAGAACACCTTGAGGTTTTGGGGAGGAACAAAGGAGTCAATGCTTTTGAGAGTGATGTGTAGTCTGTGACTGAGTGCTTGCTATGTGGCAAGGTACTATCACCAAGGGGAGTCAACACCCCAGGTTTTGGAAATAGATTCCCATAGGTTTGAAGCCTGACCTGGCCACTTACTGATTGTGAGCTTGGATAAGTTATTTAACCTCTTTGAACTCTGCTGTGGTCTGAATGTGTCCCCCAAAATATCTGTGTTGGAAACTTAATCCCCAATGCAACAGTATTGAGAGGTAGGACCTTTTAGGAGTGATGAGGTCAGGGGGGCACTGCCCTTATGAAGGGATGAAGACTGTTATTACAGGTTAGTGATGAAATGGGGGAGTTTGGTCCCCTTTTCCTCTCTCTCCATGTGATGCCTTTCTGCCATGCTATGCTCCAACAAGAATGCCCTTGCCACATGACCAAGCAGATGCTGGCGCCATGCCCTTGGACTTCCCAGCCTCCAGAATTGTGAGCCGAATAAATCTCTTTTCTTTATGAATTACCTGGTATTATGTTATAGCAGCAGAAAACAGACTAAGACAGATTGCCCTTTTTATTTATAAAAATGAAGATTTTTTTAGGGTCATTTTGACCTATTTATTCTAGATGGATCAGCATAGTGGATGTAGTAAGGATATACTCAGTAAATTTAAAAAAATATTATATTACTATTTTTATAATGATTTTTTAAAGTAATTCTGATAGTCACAAAATGTGTAACCCCTCACCCCTTGAATATATGCTGTGTAAAATATACACGAATCTATAGACATAGTCTGGAACACCTATTTTTGCACAAAATGCTGCAGGCTGCAGGAAATGGAGGCTGTAGTCAGATCCTAAAGAACAAGCTACATGGATGGAGGAAAATCTCATTCAGGAAATTTCATGCCATTTAAAATGATGTCCAGGAGATGTATCTAGGAGACTACTGGGCTTCCTAAAGGTGCTTGTGCTCACATATTAGATAAACAGTTGAGTAGTTATAACCTCTACATTTTTTAAAGCAATTAAATACAAACAAATGGGTAGAGTTTGGAAGAGATTGCCAGCTGTGCAGATGGTCTAGACAAATACACTAACGTGAGCTTTACCTCCAATCTATAGAAGAGAATATTAAAAGCAAACAAGCTGTCAGCCAGTAACTGGTGAACTGTTGACTTTTGGTATAATTGTAATTGTCATGATGCTTTTTATTAGGCTATATTGTTTCTTCTAGGTACAGAGAAGCATAGAAAGGCTGGTGAGACCCAAAGAAACTCACACTGCTGATTTCAAGCAGTCCCTTGACCAGACCAATCTGTGCCGCCACACTGGGGTTGTGGAGTAGTGGAAACACCTGGATTTGGAGTGAGAAGGCCTGGGTTCAAGTCCTGACCCTGTCACTCACCAGTTATGATGACAATAATTAAGGCCAGTGCCCCTAGGGCTCTTACTCTGTGCCAGGCACTGTGCAAAATGCTTGATCTGCACTATTTCATTTAAACACCATAACCAGCCTATCTGGTAGAAATTATGATTATCCCCATATTTCAGAGATTTCTTAATCTAACTCAATTTCCAATGCCCTTTGCAATCCTGGGTCTGTGAAACTCACTGTCATTGGCAAGCATTCCTGTGCCTTCATCCTCTTCTCTGAACACCTCCTTCACCTTCTTGCCCTGAGCCCCAGGTGTTTTCTGTGCACACTGTTTCCCTGAAGCTGGTTGGTAGAAGTCCATGCTCCCCCAGACCTTGCTCTCCTTGCTGCTTCTGAATCATTTCTTCTCTGGTCTCCTTTAAAGATCCCAACTCCTTTGAAGATCATGTTGTTAGATGATACCACCCACCCCTCTTCATTGCAATCATCTGGTGACCCCTTAGCTGCCCCTCATCATTCATTCATTCATTCATGCAAGCTGTCAACATCTGGCTCATGTTCTTTTCACCTCTACTCCTGTCACCATTTTTGGTGACTTCAGTGTCCAGGTGGGTAACATCTTGTCCTCTTCCTTAATCTACTCTCTTGCAATGACCTTTTCCTCCTCTCCACCTTAACCAATCAGCCTTATGTAAACCCTGACCTTGACATCAGCGTTAATTATAATACCCTCTGAAATCTCAATTCCAAGCAAGTTCTTACATGTCCCCTGCTCAGGTGTTCTAATATTCCCATAGCAACAATTTTTGGCCACCCTGAAACCACCAATCCATTGGCCTAAGTTCTTTTTCTATTTCCATCTCTGTTCATGTCCTCACTTTGTTCTTTACTCAGCTTGGATTCAATGGTCGGTCCATCATTAATGTCACTCCTTTGAAACTCCTCTCTTCCCCTGTGGTTGTCACCTGGCAAAGCCTTACCTCTGATTAAATCTATCAGTTGCCTACTCCTTGTCTGCACCTGATCAGTGGGTGGGGCTGTAGAGAAACACACAGCCAGGCTGTTGCTCTCATCTTAAATTTATGGCCACAAATCTAAAGTGGGTTTCACCCTGCCGAATGATCTTTGTACTAGTCTCTAGTTGTGCTGTCTTTCCCACTTTCCAGAATGACAGTTTCACACTTCTCCACTTAAACCTCCTATACACACCCATTCTTTCATCATTCTCAGCTATTGACTTTGCCTCCTAGTCATTGAGAAAACAGAAGCAATGAGAAGGGAATTCGCACATTTCCATTGCTAAATACACTCACTTCCCTGTACCTGTACCCACACACACTGTCCCAGCTCTGATCAAAGGCCAGACCTCTCTTCTGGATTCCAGCTCCTCTCACCTGCTTCACTGGCTACCCTCATCACCTTTGCTATCTTCTCCTCCTTTGCTAACATTTAAAGGTAGGAGTCCCCAGGGCTTAGACCGTGGATCTCTGTTCTTCTCCACTTGATCTTGCGTAGATGAGCCCGTCCATTCTCATGGCTTTCAGAACCACATGTAAACCAATGAGTCTCAAATTTATCTCTCCTTGGAGCTCCAGACTTATATATCCAACGGCCTGACATCTCTGCATATCTAACAGTTATCGCAAGCCTTTCATATTTCCCCCAAGCTCTTCCTCTTCTACCAGTCTTCCCTATCTCCAGCCACCCAACTGATTAAGACAAAAACCTAGGTTATCCCTGGCTTCTCCCTCCCCCTCCTTACTCCTGTGTGTGCACTGACTCCAACAGCAAATGCCCCAACTTTGCCTCCAAAACCTCCCACTTTATTCACATCTCTCCACGGTGACTTCTAAGCTGAGGCACCATCACTTTTCTCCTGGATTCTGCAAATAGTCTTCTGGCTTCCACTCTTGTCCCATGAACACATTCCTCTAAGGGACTTCAGAAAATATAAATCTGATTATGTCATTCCCCTCCAAAGCTTCCCATGGCCCTGCAAAAGAAATTCCGAATTCTTTCTTAGGGCCTGCATTTTCTCACTCTCTACTTTGTTCATTATGAACGATTTTTTTCTTTAAGGCCTTTTCATTTGCTTTAGGTACTTTTTATGTTCCACTTGAAAGGGCTACTCTTTTGGTCATTGAGGTCTCAGCTTAAGTGCCACCTCTTCAGAGGAGCCTCCCTGACCCCCAAATCCCACATAGCTGTTCTTCCCAATCGCACTGCTGTATCACCACGTTTTTCAAAATCATCTTTCTCATTTCATTTATTTGTTTACTTGTTTGTTGTCTGTCTTGCTCCCCTGGAAGGTACACACCCCAAGAGCTAGGATTTTGTTTGTCTTATTCACCGTTCTATTCCTAGCCCCTAGAATACTTGGCACATGATAAAAGATGGTTAAAATAAATGAATGAATGAATGAGGCTCACAGAGGGTAAGTAAATCACCCAAGGTCACAGAGCTAATAAGTGGCCATGCCATGATTGAACCCAGAACTGTGTGGCAGGCACCAAAGCCCACATTTCCAGAACACTTCATTCTGCTGTCACTAAAAGCCACATGGCCAGGGCTTCAATTTATAAAACACTTTACATCCATTATCTAATTCACTCCTCCCTGTAAACTGATATGACTTGAATTGTAGCTTTGCTTTTTCCAGATATGGAAACCAAGGCTCAGAAAGGTTTAGTAATTTCTCCAAGGTCCCTATCAGAGCAGCGGAAGGGCAGGTAAATAACAAGACAGGAATCAACTCCCCAGGAAGTATGTTTATCTCTCTCTGAAGCTCATGTTCTCATGCTGATAATCAGGGGTGTTTTATACAGGAGAATGGCTCATCAGGGCCATTCACGAGGAAGTCTGAGAGGGGAGCTGGAAGCACATTGAGTGTATTGAGGCTAAACACAGCCCTGCTCCTGTGGCAAGCAGAGGTGCGAGGTCCTGCGACATCTGCTCTGTGTTTGCGCAAGGATCCCCAAACCATAAAACAAAGTGGTTAGGGGATCCCAGAAGGTAACCCAGGGACGTCACTGTCTTGGAGGAGACAATGTGCTTTGGAGTGACTTGGGCATGTGCTAAGGTGAGGGTCTCTGTCTTTCACCAGGTATGGTTTTCCTGCCTGCCAGTGTGTCCTACCTTATCGGCACCAACCTCTTTGGAGTGTTGGCCAACAAGATGGGGCGGTACGTAGCCTGGGGACCTGGGAAGAATGCTAGGAATGCGAGATGGGAGAGCCTTTCGAGGTTGTCCCTGCGCTTGGGATGATGAACAGCTTCTCTGAGGTCAAAAGTTTAGGGCAAGTACACGCCGATAAAAACTGCCCACTGGGAGGATGGGTGGTCGGTGGGTGGGTGGAGAGGTCAGTATAGAGGATGGTCCTGAGCTCTGTGCTGGTTGCTCTAGAAGAGGCAGCTGATTTCTCTTCTATGAGAAGGAAGAATATGTCCCATTGCACCTGTGCCACCCTTACTGTGGCCATAGGGGTGGAGCCAGGGAGGAGGTGAGGGCAATGAACGGACAGGGAGAGAGCTCCCCTGGGCACAAATCCATCACGGAGAAATGCAGTCATCTTCTCAGGTCCTAAGGTCACTGGAATTAGAGCTGGCAGGACTGGCCAGCGTGGTGGTGACAGGGTTTGGGGTGGAAGGGGCATTCCCCTTAGCGCTGCTTGACGATGGCTCTTTCCTTCCAGGTGGCTGTGCGCCCTGGTTGGGATGGTGGTGGTAGGAACCAGCCTGCTCTGTGTAAGTATAAAAGGCCTAGTTGAGACAGAGGCTCAGACATGTAAAGACCACTTTCCTTTAAAGTGAGTGGAGGATTGACTTGGCAAGGACCGTTGGCAAGACTGTGTTCGAGTAGGTAGGAATTGAGCAGCGGGGCAGATGCCACGAGTTGAAGGGCGTCCCACTGAGGGTGGGGTGGGGTCGGGAGAGCGAGAGGGCGGAGGGCCAGCAGGGGCCAGAGGTCTGAGGCTCTCTGTGTGGGCATTTGAAGTGACACATGTTGGTATCTATTTCTGGGGCCGGCAGAGTAAATGAAGCATTTTATGACTTCACTTACTCATCTCACCCTGATGGACCCCACAAGCCCCCAGGGAGCCTCAGCCACCATCTGTGTCTCAGTCTCTGGCCCCAGAATCTTTGCTTGAAGAAGAAAGAAAGATGGCTTTTCTGTTTTCAAGAGTCCCCACTCAAGTCCTGTAAGCCTCCATTTCCTTCTCCCCAGTGGGACTGAGGAGCACAAAGCATCGTAGGCTTGGGGCACAGGGGAGGAGCGCAGCAAGGCTCCAGGTACTGTGCTCAGGGCCGGCTGGAGGTCACCAGTGGGAGCTCGAGCTCTGGCTTCCACCCTGGCTTTGCTGCTTGCTGTGTGTGTGACTTTGAGCTGGTGACCTCACCTCTCTGTGCTCAGCATCCTCATCTGGGTAGAGAGGATTGCGAAGGTGTCCCCAGGGTTGTCCAGGTGATCTCCATAAACCGCAGCTCAGAGTCTGGCCTGGGTGAGCCCCCAGCACATCTCATCCAGTAACTATGGATCAAATACAAACACTTGTCGAGGCATCAGCACTACAATTGTGTAAACACATAAGGACTGAATATCCTGGGCCAGCAGGTTTGGGTAACAGGTGCCCAGGGAGGGAGGTAAGGAACCTGCTAAAGAGGGAAGGAAATGTTTTCATTGAAGGGTTGGAAGGACAGTGGGAAGGAGCCTCACAATGTGTCACTCAACCATGTCACCTGCCCCATCTAGCTTATGGCTAATTGGTTGTTGGGCTCTCTGCTCTGTCTTGCTCCAATGGCTATGGAGTTAGGGGTTTAGACAAAACCTTTGGATGATGTCAGTAATGGAAAAGAGGCAACTTCATTCAGTGAAGAACGAGGACAGAGTGTGTGTTTGGATGGAGAGGGGTAGAGAAAGGGAGGAAGCACCCATGTGACAGAAAAGGACCCTTATCATGGTATAATGGAGTCAAATCTAAGGTTCAAACTTGACCTTGGCACTCTGCAGCTCTGTGACTTTGAGCAGGGCATTTAACGCAAACAGCACCACCAGTCTAGTTTTCAAATCTTTACAATGGAGGGAAAGATTCTTCTTCATAAGAAGGTGTGAAAATGCAAAGAAATGATGCGCGTAGCCCTTAGCACATGCTTAATGTGAGTGCCTGTCATGTGACAACCCCTTGAGCCCTGCCCCCACCTGTCCCAGCTGGAGTCCCACAAACTGTTCTTCCTCCCCCTTGCAGGTTCCCCTGGCTCACAATATTTTCGGTCTCATTGGCCCCAATGCTGGGCTTGGCTTCGCCATCGGTAAGAAATGCCCTCAAAAGAAATAAGAAGCCCCTAGACCAGGCGTCCTCAAAGGACATTTATCCGACCTGCCGGGTGTTTGTTTTTTTTGAGACAGAGTCTCACTTTCTTGCCTAGGCTAGAGTGAGTGCCGTGGCGTCAGCCTAGCTCACAGCAACCTCAAACTCCTGGGCTCAAGCGATCCTCCTGCCTCAGCCTCCCGAGTAGCTGGGACTACAGGCACGCGCCACCATGCCCGGCTGATTTTTATATTATATATATTAGTTGGCCAATTAATTTCTTTCTATTTTTATGGTAGAGACGGGGTCTCGCTCAGGCTGGTTTTGAACTCCTGACCTTGAGCAATCCGCCCGCCTCGGCCTCCCAGAGTGCTAGGATTACAGGTGTGAGCCACCGCGCCCGGCCCTGCCGGGTGTTTTTGCCGCAGCTGCCTGTCCTGCTTAGCAGCCGACTCTTCCCAGGCCCACAGTGCGCATGTGTGGAATGTGCACCGCACTCTCCAACGGCCCTCCAGCGGTCTGAGGGACAGTGAACTGGCCCCCTGTTACAAAAGTTTGAGGACCCCTGCTAGACATTGAGTGCAATGCCTTTCCTCCCCCTTTCTCATCGGAGGAGGCAGGTGGGGAGGCAGAAGAAGCAGGAGGGCCACTGGCAGGGTGTGGAGAGAGGGACTCATTATTCCCACCTGGAACAGGTGTTGGTGCCGAGGGGGAGGACGGCAGGCAGAGCGAGGGGACCCTGGGGGAGGGCCATGCCACCGACTGTGGGTGGGGCTGACAGTGTCCCGTTTGCGCTGGCCACAGGCATGGTGGATTCCGCGATGATGCCCACCATGGGACACCTGGTGGACCTGCGCCACGCCTCCGTGTACGGGAGCATCTACGCCATCGCAGACGTGGCCCTTTGCATGGGCTTCGCTATAGGTACGTTGGTGGAGGCCCCACCCGCCCCGCCTGCTGTTTCCCAGCCGGAAGTGGAGCAGGACCATCTTCAGGTGACCCCGCGGCGCCCTCTGGGTCACCCGCCGCCCTTGGCATAGTGCCGGACATGTGACCCGGCTCCGTAAACACACGTGGCCTTGATGTATTCCTCACAGGCCCGTCCACCGGGGGTGCCATTGTGCAGGCCGTCGGTTTCCCCTGGCTCATGGTCATCATTGGGGTCGTCAACATCATCTATGCCCCTCTCTGCTGCTACCTGCGGAGCCCCCCAGCCAAGGAGGAGAAGCTTGTAAGGAAATCTGACTGCTAAAAAAAATCCACTTCTGTTTCTCCCTGTTGTCTCTCGCATTCCCTTTCATCCTGAGCTCGTATTTCCTCTATCAATAGTTTCTCTGCTTTGTCCAGTTTTCTGATCCCCTTTTCATCTTTACCCTTCCTGTGTGCCCCTCCTAAATTTCCCTTCTCTCAGTAACCACTTCCTCTCTTTCCTGGGCCGTTAGGAAGAATCTTAGGGAAAGAAGGCAAATGGGGAACCCACAACAAATTGGCATCCAAGGCATCCTCTAGTTGCCGTGGTTACTGGCAAGGTGTGAATTGCCAAGTTGTCTCCCCCCCAAAATGGGCAGAATCCCATTGTGCACATTCATCCGTTCACTCATTCATTCATTCATTCGTTCAAGTGTGCCATTATCTTTTCCAGGGCATCTCTACAAAAACCTGGCCAGGTGCGGTGGCTCACGCCTATAATCCTAGCACTCTGGGAGGCCGAGGCGGGAGGATTGAGGTCAGGAGTTTGAAACCAGCCTGAGCAAGAGTGAGACCCTGTCTCTACTATAAATAGAAAGAAATTAACTGGCCAACTAATATATATAGAAAAAATTAGCCGGGCATGGTGGCACATGACTATAGTCCCAGCCACTCGGGAGGCTGAGGCAGGAGGATTGCTTGAGCCCAGGAGTTTGAGGTTGCTGTGAGCTAGGCAGACACCACGGCACTCACTCTAGTTTGGGCAACAAAGCGAGACTGTCTCAAAAAAAAAAAAAAAAAAAAAAAAGACAAAATAAAGTACAAAACCCCAGGGAAGAGAGCCACATGTGATTTCCTTTAATAAGATACTTTCCTCTTATTGCAGCACGAGGCCACCCTGAGGGGCGTGGCTGGGTTAAGGAGTAGATGTAGAGGCTGCTCGAAAACACAAAAGAAGGTCTAATGGGCAGTGGTGCCAGTTCCGGCCGGCGTCCTGCCTGCTGGATTTGGCCCTGCCACCTGTTAGGACTCAATTAAAAGCATATCAGGTGTTTGTTCTGCCGAGGGTGGATATACACAGGTGCCTTGGGAGGCCTGTGCGTGTAGGTGAAGCGGAAAGAGGGTCCTGTGTGTGTTTATGGTGTGGTTCCTCGGCAAGGCTAGACTTGGATGAGCTGACGGGAACAGAATGGATGTGCAATGAAGATGTGCAGTGATTTCTCTCCTCGCCTCTCACCACTGCAGGCTATTCTGAGCCAGGACTGCCCCATGGAGACCCGGATGTATGCAACCCAGAAGCCCACGAAGGAGTTTCCCCTGGGGGAAGACAGTGATGAGGAGCCCGGCAACGAGTAGTAGCAGCAGAGATGGTCCCCGAGCCCCGCCACGTGTGAACTTGTGAGGCTCAGACTTCAGCTGCCACCTGCTTCCCTGGAACCAGATCACCATGGGCTGCTCAGTGGGGTCCCCTCCCCCCTTCAGCATCTCCTCTCCTCCTTGCTTCTCGCCTGTGTGACCCATAGCTCCCCCTCTATGCCTTGGGCCTCAGGTGGCCCATGTTTTGTGGGAGAACAGAGGGATGCTTCCTCCCAGGCTGCTGCGAGGTTCATTAAACTTGAGCTGTGACGAGTTCTGCAAGGGGTGACTCATTCCGTGGAGGCGGCAGCGAGCAGGGTGCCCCTGAAACCAGTGGGGTGACTGATAAGTCTTGTTTCATCTGTTGTCTGAATTTCTTTGGCAGATTCCCAACAGATCATTTTGTCCTCTTTCCCCAACTTGTTCCCCACTGGGTTTTCCCAGCTGAATTGAGAAAGCATGTTCTACGCTGTACTGCTGTCTAATGCCAGTTTGGGGGGATTTTTGCTTGTTTTTTTTTATAAGCTGAGTGGTTTTTCTGTAGTGAAACCTACAGCTGCTGAAATGACTTGAGCCTTGGTGAATTGGGTCTTCTGTCTTCTTCATTATCAAATGGGAAGGGGAAGAGCCTTTTTCTCTTATGCTCATGATCTCCTCTGTGTGTTCCTACCTTTCCTCAACTTCTTAGATGCTTAGAAATAAAAGTAGGAGAAGGACAGAAGAAACAATCTATTAGACCCAAGATTTCATAGGAAGAAGTGAAAAGAAACTGCCTTGAAATCCTTCCTGAATGTGGATTTCCTGACTTGAGCAGTAGAATGAGGCATTGTTCACACTTGCTAATGAATAATTACTGCCTGATTCAACCATGGTAAAACCAGATGCTGTTTTATAACAAAACAGAATGTGTGGGCAAATATAGTAGGTGCTATAAATATTATGACATTTTGCTACCTTATTGAAACAGTTGTTGGATGATGGGGTTTCAAAGAGATGGGAGACATAGCACCCACCCTAAGTATATTCCCATCTATTTGGACGAACAGGATATACAGTATACAAATGATCAATACTGCAAGTTAGTATACACTGTGTTCGGGTGCAAGGAGGTGGGGTGCTCGTGTAGGTGGGAGATAATGGCAGAGATGGAGGTGGAGGCAGGATGGAGACACCCACAGAAGCAGGCTTTTGGGGTGCCTGGATACCAGATGGGGGTGTTCAGACTTTATCTGGAATGGTACCTGGCTCTGAGTACTGCCCTCTTCTGTAGGCGTTTAGTGGGTTCAGCACATGCCCTGAGTCACCAGAGCACATTCAAGCTGAACCTCTTGTTGAAGCTCTGTCACTCAGACAATAGGCACCTGATTTATGGATATGCTTTTAGGGAGTTGGCATTAACTAGACTTACCTGATTTGCAAAACCAGATGTCCTTATATCATTTAGTCAGGGTAGTGTTGGTCTCGGATTTTGAAGGAGCCCAAAGGTGAAATGAGACAATTATTTGTCAAAATATATAAGCTGTAACTACACACACAGATGGAGTGTGGTCCTTGCAGAGGTGGGAGTGGGGCGGGGCAGGCGAGGAGGCCTGGCAGTGACAGACGCTCACTCTCTCATGCACTTGGGGCAGGATGTGTAATAAAGGCTGGCCTTGTTACAGAAATTAACACATTAAAAATAGGAAGAATGTATTTTTTTAAGAGAAACCCATCCCTGATTGCCTGTTAACATTGAGCAGTATAGGAAGACATGGATAAGGGGAAACCAATGGATATAATTTGTTAAGACTTTCAAAATACTCTTGATAAGGGTCAACACCAAACACTACAAAGCAAGGCAGGACATCTGTTTTATCATAGATCAGAGATAGGTTAAGGATCATACTATGTAGTATGGAGGAGTATAAAAAGGAGAATCCCAGCTATAAGAAACAACGGTGATATAGTACCTCTTGTATTTTCCTGGCTAGAGCTGGAACCCATTTTATTAAGTGAAGTATCCCAAGAATCGAAAAATAAGCACCACACGTACTCACCAGCAAACTGGTATTAACTGATCAACACCTAAGTGCACACATAGGAATAACATCTATTGGGTGTCAGGCAGGTGGGGAGGAGGGAATGGGTATATACATACATAATGAGAGTGATGAGCACCAACTGGCGGATAGGCGTGCTTGAAGCTCTGACTCGAGGGGGGCAGAGGGGCAAGGGCAATATATGTAACCTTAACATTTGTACTCCCATAATATGCTGAAAAAATAAATAAAGAGAAAAAAATAAAAAGGAGAATCCCACAAGAATAGAAAAATGGAATTAGACTTTATCCATGGGCTTATTATAAATGATATGAAGAAGAGAAGACAGTGAACTTTCCACATTCCTAGGTCACACAAAGTTCTAAAAATGAAAATGCCAACCCAGCAAGGATGAGCCACAAGAAGTTTTCTATAAAAGTAGCATACAATGGCAGATGGCCTCCCCTGTGGAACTGTTGAAGATACATGCGTTTTCCCCTCTTGAAAGGGAGGAGGCACAGAGACTGTAAAAATGTTTATATTAACAGGATGATGGGCTCTCAGCTAACAATCACAGCATAGCGAAGACGATGTGCAACTAATGAGCTCTTGTGCTCAATAGGCCAGAACAATGTCTGGCTTTCTCAGGCAGTGTTGGAACAAACCAGAAGACGTACCCTTTCCAATGTGCCAAAGCATGGTGTTGCCACATTGGGGTGGAAGCTGCCACATCACAGATTGCAGCATTCATATACAAGTTTTCGTGTGGACATATGCTTTCCTTTCTCCTGGGTAAGGCTATTCACATCAAGCTATTCACATGCACTTAGGAGTACGATTTTGAGGTCCTGTGTTAACTCTGGGCTGGAACTTTGAGGAACTGCCAGGTTGTTTTCCCAGGGAGCTGCACCATTTTGGGGTCCCACAAGCAGTGTATGCAGATTCCAGTTTCTTCACATCCTCTCCAATGTTGGTTATTGCCTGTCTTTGCAATTATATCCCACCTAGAGGGTATGAAGTGATATCTCGTGGTTTTGATTTGACTTCCTCTGATGGCTAATAATGTTGATCATCTTTTCATGTGCTTATTGGCTACTTACATATCTTCTTTGTGGAAATGTCTATCCAGATCCTTTGCCCATTTTTAAAACATGTTCATCCTTTTATGATTGAGTTATAAGAATTTTTATATCTTCTACATATAAATCTCTTATCAGATATGTGATCTGAAGATATTTGCTCCCATTCTGTGGGTTGTTTTTTCACTTTCTTGATGGTGTACTTTGGAGTACAAATGGTTTTAATTTTGGTGAAGCACATGTATCTATTTTTTTTTATTGCTTATGTTTTTGGCATGATATCTAAGAAATCATTGCCTACTCCAGGATCATGAAAATTTATACCTATGTTTTCTTCCAAGAGTTTTTAGGTTTAGCTCTTACATTTTGATATTTGATCCATTTCATGTTAATTTTTGTATTTGGTGTGAGGTAGGGGTCCAGCTTCATTTTTTACATGCGGATAACCAGTTGTCCCAGCACCATTTGTTGAAAAGAGTATTCTTTCCTCACTGAACTTTTTTGCTACCTTCTTTGAAAGTTAATTTAAAGTTAATTTAATGTAGATGTGAGGATTTATTTCTGGACTCCCAATTCTACTCCACTGATCCATTTGTCAGTCTTTATGCTAGTAATGCTGTCTTGGTCAATGTAACTTTGTAGTCAGTTTTAAAATAAGATTGTTTAAAAAAACCTCAAGTGTATAACAAAAAGCAGCAGTCTTTTGTGTCATCTTCCTGAATCCTATCCTCTACTTTCATATTTTAATCTATTTTATTGTTTTATTAGTTTAATTTTTATATCTAAGAAATCTATTAATATCCAGTTCTTTTCTTTTATTGATATGTAATATTTTACATATTTATGGGGTACATGTGAGTGTTTGATACATGCATAAAATGTGTAATGATCAAGTTATGATATTTGGGGTATCCATCACCTTGGATATTTATTAATTCTATTTGCTGGTAACAACTCAACCCTCTCTTCCAACTACATTGAAATATACAGTATACTGTTGTTAATGGTGGCAACCCTACTCTGCTATTGAACATTAGAACTTCTTTCTTCTATCTAATTATACATTTGTACCCATTAGTTCTTTCTTCATTTAACATCTTTTGACATCATCTACTGTCTTCCTTTAATGCTAGCTGGGGGTTGAGTATTTTTACTGGCCCCTTTCCTGCCCTTCAACCTCCAAACATAGTTTTATCACAATTTATTAATTAATAAGTATTTGCATTATTATGGCCATATTAGCATTGCTTGCTGCTGAACCAGGGATGATGTATGATTTTATTTCCTTGTTCTACAAAGTTCTGCTGTTCCTGGAGTTGATGGTGCCTGCTCTGTTGTGTCTGGAGTTGCTTTGTTTGCTTTGCTTTCTGTACTGCTCTCAAGTCTTCCAACAGATTTATAAATCCCCTCTGACTATTCCTTTCTGAGCATAGCAGGTAACCTATCACCTCGATTTGTTTCCTGGAGGCATCCCTCCAGCTCTGTGTCCCCTGGACTCAGTCTCAGAGCCACCGGCACAGCTGCTGGGCTGGAGTTTTCCTGTGCTGCTCTCCTGAACTGGATCCATAGTTTCCTGGATCCAGTGTCTTCCTCTTTCTTGGTGCTTTTCCATCTTTTGGAAAGCATGTCCTCCAATAACTTCCTCATATGGGTGCAAGGCAGGTGAATAATTTGAGACATTGACTATCTGAACATGTCATATTTGGTTGATGTCTGGATGTAGAATTCTGAGCTGAAGATCATTTCCCCTCATATTTTGAATGTGTGTTCCTTTGTCTTCTGGTGTCAGTGATGCTATTGACAAACCCAGTGCCTTTGCACGGAATCTGCTGTTGCCTTTAGCTTTTAGGACCTTATTCCAGGTCTTCTATAAAATTCACAAGGATGAGTCTTTGCGAGTTTTTTTTTTTTTTTTTTATTCATAGTGCTGCTCACCCAATGGGCCCTCTCAGTCTGGAAAATCATGTTCTCTGTTCTGGGCATTTTGTTGTGCTATCTCTTCCATCTTCTTTTGCTTGCTGTCTGGAAATCTTCTTAGTTGGGTGTTGGGCTCCCTGGATTGATTGATTTTCTTCCTTATTCCTCCTATGCAATCATTTTAACTTATTTTATTCCACCCTCTGAGAGATTTCCTCAATTCTACATTCATTTGCTCTTTGTAATTTTTTTTTCAACTATCACAATTTAATTTGTAAGAGCTCTCTGAATTTTTATACCTCCTAATCTCATTTCATGGTCGCAATAATTTTAATCTCTCTGAGAAAGGATCAAGCTATTCACATGTTTTCTTAGTTCTGATGTTTGCTGGTTTTGAGCTCTGTCTTTCATCATGGAGATTTTCTTCAAATGTCTTGACATTCGTGGAAAAGCTCCTAGAATTCTTCATGCTTGACTGGGGCTTGGCAACTCTTGGGGTAACTAGAGGGAGTTGGCTCTTTCATTGGAGATTCCCCAATATCAGTGTCTGTAGGTCTTGTCTCTAAATTTCTTCAGTGGACACTCTTCCTCCTGGTGATGAGCATGGGTGGAATCTACATCCTTGGAGCAAAGCGACTAATAGGGGCTCAGTGTGGAGTAACAGACTCAACCTGGTCACTCTCACTAGTTTGAGTGTGGCACCTGTCCCCTGCCTCCACCCTGCCTGGAATCCTCAGCTTGTAGCCTTTCTGGTTTAATTTTTCCACCTTTTACCTGGGTGGTGACTGAGCTCACGGCTGGCTTCAGGGCATGGTGGATGGCACTAACGTGTCCTCATATACACTTTTTTCTTTCTTCTCATCAATCTGCCTTTTATTCATCCCCATATCTTGTATCACCTTCAATTCCTATGTCTTCTTTGATGGAAGTTGACTTTATTTTTATTGGTACCTCCTTCTGCATGAATTTAGTATTCAGATATCTCACATTTCTGACTTTTCTCATCAGTTTTCACCCAACATTTTCATTCCAACAGTGTCTTAAAAAATCACTTCTATTTTTCATGTGCTCTTGTCTCTTTTCCCCAAATCTTTTAAAATCCTTTCATAGATCAGGAATTATGAGTCTTTACTTGAATCTTCCCACCTCATGTAAAGGAAGATGGGGAACAAATTAGTCATAGTTTTGATTTGCTTATAAGGACGTTGGAAGGAGCTAGAGCTGAGACAAAGGTAGAAGAGAGCTTGGTGTGTCCCTGTGTTTATTTTTCACATTTGCTGGAGCAGACTGAAGTTAAGGAGTCTCCTCTAACTTGCATGACAACTCTTCTTACCTATTAGCTGGGGAAGAGCTGCAGCTGAGCTTGCTTTTGGTGTGCATGGTACACCTGGCACGTGAAGCTTGGGGGATGACGTGGGGATTCCCTCTCTGTGCTTACCCCCAAACCTGGAGTACTTTCCAGAAATGCTGGTAGCAGTGAAACCGACACCCCCTAATGCCACTCTGGCTGCTCCCTGGTCCATCCTGGCATCAGCCACCTGCCAAGGGAGCCAAGGGGTTTCTTATGGAAATCACTTCCACTCACTCCCCACAGACTTTCCCTTCACCTGGGCAGAATCAAAGGTGAGTTCACCTTTACCTGCTCACATAGTCCCTGCCTATAGATGTCCCTCCCCATAGTTTTCAGAACCAGTACAGATCACGTGATGAGGTCTCAGGAGGGATGGGGGTGGGCAGAGTTAAAAATGCTGAGATCATGATCTTGACACAAGTTCTGGGGTTTCTGCCACTTAACCTCAGTTTTCAAAGTATTTTTTTCTTTTCTTTCCTTTTTTCTTCTTCTTCTTCTTCTTCTCCACCTCCTCCTCCTCTTCTCTTTTTAAAAACTGTGTATGTTACACATTAGTAAAGTGCATACATTTTGAGTGTGTGCTTGATGAATCTGTGTGCGTGCATGTGTGTGTGT